GTATTTCCGTGATTATTATAACCAAAAAAGGAAGAGCTCCACTGAGCCCTATCAATATGAATGAAGATGAAGATTCCATGAGTCCTTGTTGTCCATCCAGTCCGTCCAAAAGTTTGGCGTCGTCGGATTGGCTTGGCTAGAAAAAGTTGAAGTTCCACACGTGCAGTTATAAGTAACAGTTCAGAATCAGTCATAGTCGGTCCGCAGTCGGACTGTAGTCCGCTGCAGAGGACGGCAGTCCACCACACCATGATTTCAGTGGTCCAGTCCGGTCCAGGACTGGTCTGCGGGCGAATTTGGAGCTTCAATCTCAGCTAGCTGGTGTAATATGAGGAATAAGACCAACACCCCTTCCCTCTCGCGGCTGCACTTCTCGACTCCGCCAATCCTACAATCCGGAAAAGGCACCTCTTTCTTTCTTTCACGAGCCTCCAAGCTCTAAGACGGGTTTTGGAATATAGATCTTCGCTTCATCTCTCCCTTGAACCACATCGTCGACGACGGTATCGGGAGTTAGCTCTAGCTAGGCCGTTACTTCTTCGCGCATGTGTATCATATCTCTAGTGTTTATTATAAGCTGCGTAGTATTGGTGTGTTCATGACCACTGGAGCCTGCAAGTACCTAGTCAACAATGTCTGAAAAACTTCCGCTGGTTATATTATCATGGCTGGGGAGCTTAATCCATGCTAAGGTTTGTTGATCATGGCAAGTTCAAGTTGTTAAACGTTTTATTGTGTAGTTTGGACGTTGTTTTCAATTATGTATCTTTACCATCACCCCAGCATATTGTCATTTCAGGTTACGTAGCAGTGGCGCATGTGTTGGTGCATGCCCTCGAAAGGAAACAAGTACGACAGCGAGGCCGGGGTTCGATTCCCGCTACAAAGTAAATAAATCCACCTTTTTATTTTTTTCTTACCCTCTACCCTTTTTTTTTTACCTCCGGCTTTTGAAGCGTCGAATTAAAGAGTGAACCAGAACAAGCTTATACCGCCAAATTACTAGAATACGTAGATGAGACAATACGAACAAACAATCTTAAAACAAAGCTCCACGAACTAACGAAAGCGTAAACAAGAATACTCCAGCTACTTAATGTGAAAAGACGTATGTACAGTCTTGAGGATCACAGACTCGGTGACTTTCGTCCCGGATTCACCTCACTCACACCTTGGAGAAAATGGTGGTACGTAGTAAGTAGGAGGGAAATCAGGAGGGAAAAGGACCTTAGGCAGGGGATTATTTTTTTCCTTTCTCAATTGAATTTAAAGTCAGTATCTACGAACAGGATACATCAGGCAGAATTTAGGCCCGTTTTATGAGTTCTTTAACACTCTGCCGGAGACGAGAAACTACCGAAAGAGAAGAAAACTCGAGCTCTCCTGTGCCTCCCAGACAGCCTGTATACGTATAAGAAAAGGTATCTCGTAATTGTACTTCTTTCAGAGTTAAATGCATTCTTGAAGATACCTCTACATTGGTCATACCCCGCCTGGTGTTGTAGTGTGGTATTTTCGTATCTCTTTGGTGGTTTTCGTAACTGGCCCTCCCAGTGAGATCTATAGTAAATATACCGGGTTCCTTTTTACAAAACAACTTAGAGACTCAACCCCCCCCCGGGGGGGGGCCTCTCTACTGGCTCCTCTCCTTCTTTTAAAACACCCATCATGGGTCAGACTTGGGAGACCTACGTTCCCCCTGTCCCGGATTAAGTCATTACTCGTGCCTATTCCTAATATATATGTGGCCCTGAGACTAATATAATCAAGTAGCTGTTTTTAAGACGATAAACTCGCTCTGGTGCGGTCTACGAGATCGAGTTGCCTCATACCTCGACGCAGTTTGGGGCAACGCGGGGCAGACCCCCTTTGGGAGAGGATTCCAATCAATACTCCCTCTTCTCGTCCTCCCTCGAAGTGGCTCGTTGGACCACACTGGCTTGTTCACCACACCATGTCTTGGAACTATAAATATCTAACGCCGAATACCAGCACTAAACAGTCAGAGGCTTTTGAGGAACATGAGAAAGGCTACTAACGGTGAGGAAAAGCAACTTCCTCGACTTCCTTTGCCTTTTAGGCATCTAAGAAAATTTGCTGTGTGATAATGATTACTGAACTGCTAAGGTAGGTTAGAAAAAGGCAAAAGATACACCTTTTTCCAGTGTGAATTTACCTGCATTCACTAACACTCAGGGAGTATTCGGGTTTGGGTGCTGTTCTAGTATCGAGGGATCTCTGCTATAAATAAACTAAGAAGTATATGGTCACCTCTATATAATCTAAGCAGTAGAGATGAGTAGAGCTAGCATAATCTAACATAATTATGTCATATATTCGCATAACTTAAAGCCCCTTGAGGCAGATATCTCCAGGTAAGGCCTCGAGTGATGATGGCTCTTGGGCTTAACTTATAAGCTCTTTTTGACTACTGGTAGTTAGAGATGTAAAATGGAAGACAATCTGTCCCTGCACCCCGCCCAATAGAGGCACTGTAGTCTGGTGGCGATAAGTTACTTCATGGCCTGGCGTGAGCTGCCTCAATAGGCCCGCCTTAGCTAATGAAACTGCAGCTTACTATTATATTCAAGCTCACGGGCCTCTTGGTTTGTAGATATATCTGCCTACCAAGAGAGCTCCACATTCACGTCCAGAAGGTTGTTCCTTAATATGATAAAACCTTCCAGTTCCCTTAGACGGTGTTGATCGAAACATCCATGAAGCCGAACGAAGTTGTGGCTTTGCTTCTCGACAGTGCTGGAATTGTGTGAGGTCCAACTTTCTCGAAAGATTATTATGTATCGCCTTAAATGGCGTCATAGTCCATACTGCCACCTAATAGTAGGTTCGAAATCGAGTCTAGCTACAGCTGCAGCTACTCCAAGGATATACTTTTAAGTATTTTCGTCCTGAGTTGTCTTTCTCTCCTCTAGCGACAGCTACAGGGGGGATGTTGAAGGCGCTCATAGCTCAAGAGAAGAAGAGCTATCCACCGCTCTGATATATAGTGGCAGTTTGTTCTCATGTGGTTTGGTCAAACAAGAACCTAAAGTTATGAGGATTATTACAGGGGTTTATTCGTATATGTAGGCCCTGTAATTAGTTTAATCCAGGTTGAGTTTGAGGCTTCATGCTGATAAAGAAACGGTAATCCCGACAAGGGTAGTAGACAGTCGGCGGTATAAGAGGCCTTCGATCAATCTCCCGGGCTTCAACTAAGGTACTAGTATGTGATGTTAGGCTGCATCGTTAGATCAGTTTGCGCTAGATGAGCATGAAGAAGGTAGAGTTGATAAGCATGCAAATCAACACTATACAGCATCTTGTTAGAGGCTTCGCAGCGCTGTAGCCTTGATAATTTAGTATCCCAACAGGGTTCCGTGGCTGTAATCGTCTCTTGTATGGTCTTCTCACCAGTGACAGCTGTCGCCCCGGCAAAATGCACTGAATCCAGCTTTTGCCTCTTCCCCACTAGGTGGCTTTATATCTCTAATTAGCTCCAAAGCTGCTGCCTTCTTAAACATGTTAATCTCCCCACCGGGCTTCCCTTCAAGTCCGCTCCAACATAGGACAGACCATCATGCACTGAGCAGACGTCGACTAGCACAACAGGGTCATGCTGAAAGTTCTTCATCCAGGTGCTGAAGTTTGGCTAGCTACTACTGTAGCCGAGTCTGAATCATTACCTTGAAGCGTGCTTAAGACTCGAATAGCTGACCCCGATGAAGGAAAGAAGGGTAGGGCAGGTTGAGCACTGCAATCTGACAACTGCTCCATTCCGAGTTTTGTGGAGCAGCATGTTCGATGCTATGGTTGTAGAGGGAGATGATCTGATGTTGGACCTCGTTGATGTCAACCATCGCCCAACCCCGCCAGAGAGCTCAAGAAGTCGATAGCTAAAGATGATTTTCACGAGTCCGCTAAAATGTGGTTGTAGTCACGTCTTAGGGAAGAAGGGCTAGTTGTCTGATCAGAAGGAATTCGAAAGGGGGATCCGGGAGCGTGCGTACCTACATGTAGCTACAACTAGCCATAAGTACTCGTACGATCGTTCCCACCTACCGCAGGAAGTCACCACCACCGACACCCGTGCCTCCCGAGGATAATCTCCAGACCAAACAAGCAACCATCCAGCGAGCTACATGTAGCTAGAACTTCTCTCGAAGGTCTGTTGATAAACCCAATGAGATAGATAAAGAATACCTGCGACGTTGAAGAGAGCACAGGTGCCAAATACCCGTCCAGTCACCTCTCGGCGTTTTATCTGGCTAAGCTGAGATAAACGGTGTGAGCCTACTTGTATGCTTTCCACCCGGGCCCGCAGTTGAGAATGCCAAGGAGTGCGAGTGACCGCCCGTGATGAGTGCGTCATGCGGTATCACTCGATGATTACTTACTTACTAGCGAACCGCGTACCGACACCCATCCCCAAGCTGGAGAGCTACGAGCTACCTCTGGATGAAGTAGCTGGTGCTGGCGCGTCGGAAATAAGATGAGTGTTGCGGATCTTCAGTGTAGAATGAAGTGGGGGTGGGAGTAATGATCGTGACGGAACTAAAGTTGCTGCCGGTACTTGGTGCTCAACCGCATACCTCCCACCCACCCATACGCTCATCGGCACGATGGTCACAAGCTTCAACTACAACAACAAGCCCTCTAAGAGTTACTTGTATGAATGCAACACAGACGCAGGAAAGCCTAATATTCAGTGGGGCCACCGGAACCAAGCACTAACCACCGAAACACAAGAACAATAAACAACCCATCACTCGCTGCAAAAATACACTCCAACACATGTATAAGTACTATTTACACCTACGTCCGAGCCACAAAAAAAGATACAAAAAAAAGAGTATATAAAGAGTACACCACACACTCTTTCCTCTTCCTCTTCTTTTCACAAACCACAACAAAAAACACAAATAAAGACAACACGAACACAAGAGCAAAAACACACAAACACACAAAACACAAAAAGCTAAAAAGGGAGAAGAAAAAAACTACACATTAACATTCACAAAATCGTCTCTCGGCTGTATCTTTGCATGCTTGAAATACTTCATGCCGACCCAGGCCACCACGACCCACACCCACGCCATGACACACGTCAAGATGATGAGCGCCGGATAATACCCATCGATGGGAAAGGCGCCCTCGTACTGCTCCTGCTGGCCCTTCGCAAACGGGCTCTACCACACCGTACACACGCCCCGTCAGTCACAGCTCCCCAAAAACACACAAAAAACCACATCAAAGGAATAAACTCACCCCCGGCACATCCCACGCCCACTCCCACACGCCCAACACGCTCCCCATGCCCACCACAAACACGACCCACGTCGCCCCCAGCACCACCCACCCCCAATACGCCGTATCCGCCGCACTATCCATCTCTTCCTGCCTCGTCCTCGCCATCACAACAACCACGCTCCCCGACCTGCCCCTCACCGGATACGCCCTCTGCGCCATCCTCCCACCGCCCCCGCCAACACCAAACCCGCCCTCGCTGTCGTCGGCACTATCATACACCGCACTCACCTTCTTCGCCGCCGTGGCCGCAGTGGCCAACTTCAGCCCCGGCGACGCGCTCCGCCGACTCGCCAGACTCCCACCACCACCGCCCCCACCGCCGCCACCCCCCATACTCGCGGGCGGCGGCTGCAGCAGCGGCGCCCCCCCGCCAAGCACCACCCCGTTCCCCGGCCGCAGCAGCGCCGTCTTCCGTAGGCTTCTCCCGCGGCGGCGCTGCTTCCGCGCCGCGGTTGTCGCCGTGCTCTGCATCATGGGGGGCGGCGGCGGCGGCGGCGGCGGGGGCGGCGGGGGCGCAGCAAAGAGCGTGCGCTCGGGACTACCGCTGGAGGAGGAGGACGAGGACGAGGACGAGGAGGAGTCAGTGCCGATTGTGAAGCCGCGGCGGCGGAGGCGCGGGGGCGTGGAGCGTTTTGGTAGCGGAGGCGGATGGGGGTGCGGGTTGCGGGTGGGGGTAGGGTTGGGGGGGCCGGCGACAGGGCCGCTGCTGGGTGCGGTCGGTGGGTTCATGCATCAGCGCACATGGCACGGGGGGGGGGGGTGCCAATTGGTGTTTGGAGCTGTTGGGGGCTCGGTGGTGAGCTTTCGGGGGTGCTGGTGGATTGGAAGTAGTGGCGCGCGTGGCCCCTAGATATATATATGTGTGTGCTGGGAGACGAGTTGTTTCTGACCTGCGCTGGACGTGTTCGTGGGAATTGGCGGTGAGATGCGTAGGTGTGAGGATTCCAGGTTTGTTGTGGTGTTGGAGACTTGGTGGGAAGTAGACGGTGCCGGGTTACACAGAGGAGGAGGCACGGGAAAGGAGTGCCGCTAGCCTGTTTGGGTGCGAGTGGCAGCCACGGGGAGGTGGGCGCCACGGTGGTGTCAGCCACAGTCATGTGCTCACGCGGGGTTGGGTGACGTCGTGGGAGCGGGTGGGTTCCGTCTGATTTCTGCGGTGGGAGCTGGAATTAATTGCTTTTGTAGTCGGGCAACACAGAATAGAGTTTGTTATGGCGGATGAGACTATCTACAGTAGCTAAACTATGCACATATAGATCATAGAACAAAGTAATAACCCATTCCAGAGACATAAGACCACCCAGATGTGCATCTACTCAACCCCACCCCCCAAAGCTTTCTTCCTTTCCCTTCTCCAAAGTCTCCAAAGTCTCCCACTTGCGCTCCTCCCCACCCGCAGCTGTGTCACCACCGCCGCTATCACTCGCTCCCAATCCCTGCCACTGTGCCTTATCCCAGACCACAATCATAACGGACTAACGAAGCTATATCACGAACTCAACCCACAACCAAACCAGGCCCCCCAGACACATCTACAGCCATAGGTTCCTACCTGTCCCTCCCAGATCCTCCCACAGCAGCCGATATGCAGAGCTCCGGCGTCCCATATCAGAACTGGCTGCGTGCGCGCGGTGCCATGGCAATAGGCGCTCCCCCGGTCGATTTCACGACGCTGGGCATGTTCATCATTGGTATGTATTATATCTGCCTTTTTCCTTTTGGAGTCTGTGGTGTATTGTATTGTATTGTATTGTATTGTATTGTACAGCTTGAGCTGCTTTGTACCTCTATATGCCTGCTGTTTCTGCTCTACTTCCTACCTGCCATACAAGCTTAATATTGGCAGAGGCATAATAGCAAGACCCAATCCACCCCCGCCAGGAAACCCAAGACTAAACCCCACTAACCCCAGAACACACAGACGAGATCCACTCCGGGCCCCCCAACGCCCGCACCGTCGTCCGCGATGCCGTCGGCGGCGCCGGCACCTACGGTACTCTCCTCCGCCCCGCCCCCTCCCCCGCTCCCCTGCTCCTCCCCCCACTAACACACCCAGGCATCATCGGCGCCCGCCTCTTCTCCCCTCCCCCGCACTCCCACAAAATCGGCTGGATCGTCGACGCCGGGCGCGACTTCCCCCCCGCAATCCGCGCGCAGCTCAAGGCGCTCGACACAAACCTGATCCTGCGCGAGACGCACGACCGCCTGACCACGCGCGGCTGGAACAGCTACGGGGCCAACGACCACCGCGAGTTCCGCTACCTGACGCCCAAGAAGCGCCTCGAGGCCGACGACCTCATCGCCGCGCGCCTCGTCGTCGCAAAGACAATCCACTTCATCTGCAGCCCCGTGCGCGCGCAGATGGTGGCCTACGAGCTGTGCGGCCTCCTCGACGACTGTCGCCCGGGCGCGGGGGCGGCGACGAGATTCATCTGGGAGCCCGTGCCGGACCTGTGTACGCCCGAGCACAGGCTCGATATGTGCGCCCCCCAGCCCCACCCCCACCCCCAACCCCAACCCCCCACTACTACTTGGTGTGGCTGACACAGTGAGGGCGGAATAGGTACAAGACGCTCAAGCTCGTGCACGTCGTCTCGCCCAACCACGCCGAGCTCGCCGGCTTCTACGGCATCGACGACCCCGCCGACAACTCGTCGCGCGCCACCATCGAGGCGCTCACCGCCAAGCTCGTCACGGCCGGCATCGGCCCGCACCACACGGGCGCCGCCATCGTGCGCTGCGGCAAGATGGGGTGTCTTGTGGCCTCGCACGGGCGCGAGCCTGTCTGGCTGCCTGCCTACTACAGCACCGACGACAGCGAGGGCAACGGGGGCCCGAACCATGAGAAGGTTGTGGACCCGACGGGCGGCGGGAACACGTTTATTGGCGGCGTGGCCATCGGGCTGGTGAGGTATCCGGGGAACTTTGTGATGGCGGCGGCGATGGGCGCGGTGGCGGCGAGCTTTGCGATTGAGCAGATTGGGATTCCGGTGTTGGAGAAGGCGGAGGGCGGCAGGGGGGAGAGGTGGAATGGCGTGGAGGTGGGGAAGAGGTTTGAGGAGTATCGGGGGAGGGTGGAGGCGATGGGGGTGGTGCTGGAGACGTGGGATGGGATGGGGGCGCCGGTGTGATGGGGTTTTTTTTTCTGTCCTTTTCTCCCTTCTTCTTTTTTCTTTGGCGGTTTGTAGGATGCTGCGGTATGTCCTATCGTCCTGCTGTTCAGCTCGGATTCCTTCTTCTTCTTATTGTTATTCTATGACTTCTTCTTCTTCTTGTTCTTCCTTTCCTCCTCTTCCTTCTTTCTTTTGTCTTGATGGGGGCATAGATGGTTCTTCTCTGCGGGCGTATTCTTCCTCTTCCTCTTCCTTCTTCTTCATACTCCATCTCCCCCCCCCCCCCCCCTCTCCTCCAGTGGCCGTTCTTGCCACCGTGGTAACCGCTGCGGCAGTCAGTGTAGTAGCAATAACAATAATCAGATCTTTGCGCAGTGAGTGCGTTTTTGGATCTTGGTGTGTTGGAGTGTAGGTGCAAACGCGGAGTAGTAGAGTTATCCGATCACGAATTATCACTCGCGCTCTCTCTCCCTCTCTCCCCTTCCACCCTACCACCAGCCGGCACAGACCGCACCGTATCCCGGGAAGCGCTGGCCAGGTTTTTTTTGACAACCCAATCTCGTCATTGCTCCGATTTCTCATGCCCAGGGTAAGCTTAATTTTGGGACGGTGAGATAACTGGGCAGTGCTCTTGAGAGTCCTGGTTGGCAGAGAGGAGAGTAGCGCCCGGTAGCCATAACGGGGCTGGCTGGCGGGGTTAAGGGGGGGGGGGGGGGTGATGCTGTAGTTCCCCCCTCCGGATCCCTATCATGGATCTATACGGCCTCTCCCCCCATCGTAGTTCGTCTTCCGCGAAGGAAAAGAAGGAGTCTCGAGTGAGTAGGAGGACTTGTATTCGGTAGCTAAAGAGGAAGGGAGGAAGGGAGGAAGGGAGAAGGGTGCACTGGCCGACGTCAAAGAAGTGGAGTGGGGACACATTCAACATACATGTTCTAGCTACATAGACAATCTTGTTTTCAGAGATGATCTTTGTGAACAATCGGGAACTTTATTGTATGGACTTGATGAGTAAAAGAAAAATTGTAAGCTTGTTCTGGTTCACTCTTTAATTCAACGCTTTAAAAGCTAGAGGTAAAAAAAAAAGGGGGGCGGAGGGGAAGAAAAAAACAAAAAGGTGGATTTATTTACTCCGTAGTGGGAGTCGAATCCCGGCCTCGCTGTCGTACTTGTTTCCTTTCGAGGGCATGCACCAACACATACGCCACTTATGCGACGTGAAGTGAAATAACAATGTGCTGTGATTGATGATAAGTTGGGTTTCTCTCCAGGTGTCTTCACCTCGTCTGGGACGTAATATCTCGAGACCTGTGGGATGACAAGAAAAGACGACAGGAGGTAAGGCGAGGCTTCCAGCCTCGAGACAACTCGAAGTCTTGAGATCTTTTTGACCTTTTCCTCTCACATAAATACACCTCCCAATCCCGGTTTCCCACCCAAAATAAAGAAAACCTAGACCATTTATTTAGATTAATTACATATCGTATCATTGTAGAGCTTTTCCAGCCCTAAAGTAATATGACGAAAAACCTCGAGACTTCCCTTTAAAGGATACAAGGCGAGATGAGACTTTTCCAAGTCTTATCTCGTGCCCGTCATAATCTGATTCTTATTCTGGAGCCAATTCGGGAGTTAAATAGAACCTCAATACGAGTGCTAACTGTTACGAGTTTGAACAAGTTGATGGGCTCAACTCTGGGCAATGGCCTGTCTGAGCCATTGACAGGCAAGAAAATACCAAGAGCCTGTGCTAGTCATGATTCTCCGCTATTCTCCACCGTTTCCAAGGAGCTGCTTGCAGTTGCATGCCAATTACAAGCACTTTGATTCTAACCCCAGAGTCCACGAGTATTCATCTCAAACCGTAAGTTAGCCCCGATCGAGGGAGGGAGATACCCAATTGTGTGACAGATATCCCGAAAACACACTCTCGAACTGGCACTGTGGGAGTAGGAACTCTATCCAGTCTCATGAGCCCGCTTACTCTGGCATGCACTGATCCGGTTTGATAATAATAATCTATCACAGCCAGACAAATCATCATTCTCAAACCGTACCAAGCATCCCACGTAAAGCAGGATCGAGACGCAGCAGTTACCTACGTACTCCCGCCTTGGTTACTCTGGCATGCGTTGATGTGGTTCGACAACAACATAGTGATTATCGTAGATATACAACCCACCGGTATACACCAAATCAGCATCAAACCACACCAAGCATCCCGACATAAGGCGGGCTCGAGACAGTGGTTGTCTACCCCCATAATGGACAAAGCTCTCTCTCTCTCTCTCTCTCTGCTAAACACTAGCAGAAGGCTCAGAAGACACTTTCTTAAACTGTTCTGTTTCAGTGTTAGTACATGTGTGCATGTAGTCTCAAAGAAAAATGGAGGAAAGTACGGCAGTGAAGATGGGGATGGAAAGGATGGTGGAGGGGGGAGGATGAGAAGATAGTGGCGGAGAAGGTAATAGAGGTAATATCTAAGGATGGAGGTGAAGGAGATGGAGATGGATGAAAAGAACGAATGTGGAGGAAAGAAGGTAGATAGAGATGGAAGTGAAAGTGGAGGGAGAAGGACGGAAGGGGAGAGACGAAGGCGATGAAAAGAAATGGAAAAAGAGACATGGTTAGCCAGCCGTCGGTGGGGTAGAGCGGAATTGAGCAGCTTGCTGCTCGTAGGGGATGGGTACGAGACTACATGTAATCCCATCCCACATAGTACGCGTCCTCCAACCAGTAAGCTCCTCTAAACCATCCCCCTCTCCCAGTCCTTCCGTTCTCGCAATACACACTAGCAGCTTTACTACCCCAACGTCGCACCCATAGCCCCAAATCACGCTAAACCAAAATTATTGCATTTCGATCATTGACACACACACACTAACCCGACCAAGCTTCAAACATCAACCGACAGCACCACAACTCTAATGGTTACTTATAGCGTGAGTGGGATTATGTACATAAGGCATGGGATAGATACATACATGGGACAGGCACGGTTTCGGTTAGTAGTAGAGATATCATCGCGACCCTATCAAATTAGCCGCCATATTCTAAACTTGGTGGGAGCTAGCTTTTGGATCTAAGCAGTAGCTATATTATCTTAGGTAGGCTACGTAAAGGCATTTAGCTTCACTGTATACTGGACGATCGAAATACATTGTAAAGAGACATATGGATGAGTATTATATTTGATTACTCGTAGAGCTACCTAAACAGAGTACATAGTAAATATATGTAGTCTTCCAATTCCGCCCAAGCCCCAACCCACCAGAAGCTCCACTCCTTTCCCATTACCCCCACTCTTCCCTCCCCCTCTAAACCGCAGAGGCCGCCACCACTCCAACCACGACGCCCACCAGCCCCAGCAGCATCCACGGCCACAGACTCACACCCCGCACCTTCCCAATCCCCTCAAACTCCCCCTCCAGCCTCTCCGCCATCCTCTCCTTCGAGAACTCACTCACCACCCTGCCCCTCCCCTGTCTCCCCATCTCTGCCAGCTCCCCCTCCTCCATCCCAAACAACGCAGTCTTAATAACCTCCACCCACGCCGCCTCCTCCTGCGGCCTTAGCCACCCCGTCACCCCGTCCTCCACCGTCTCCAGCGGCCCCCCGGAGTTCACAGCAAGCACCGGAATACCCGCCAACATCGCCTCCAGCGGGACGATGCCAAAGTGCTCGCGGTCGGGCGTGTACAGTAGCAGGGCCGCCGTCTTGAGGAGGTACGTCTTGAGGCTTGCCGGGATGCTAAGGAGGAAGAGCACGTCTGTCTCCTCGGGAACGCTCAGGGAGCTGATGATATTTTTCGAGGTCGCAGTCTTGAGGCCGAGGGACTCACAGAGGGCCTCCAGCTCGGCGTGGTAGGCGACGTTCTCGACGACGCGGGAGTCGTAGCCGCCGGCGAGGACGAGGCGCGTTGCGGAGCGCTCCTGCGGGGACAGGAGGGCAAAGGAGCGGATGGCGAGGGCGATGTTCTTCTTGCGCTCGAAGCGGTTGATGGAGAGGAGGATGCGGCGGCCGTCGTGCGCGAGCTGCGGGTCGGGCTCGATTGTGCCGCCGGAGCGCGGGCGCGGGGGGGCCGTGTCGACGCATGGGTAGACGACGTGCGGGGTGGTGGCGATGTGCGGGAAGGCGGTGCGGAAGACGGACTTTGTGAAGGCGCTGTTGACGACGATTGTGTGGGCGAGGCCGGTGGTGAGGGCTTCGAGGTAGTCGAAGGGGATGCGGTAGAGGGATTTGATGACGCTGGTGCGCGAGGCGAGGAGGTAGTCGGGGAAGTGGCAGTAGAAGAGGATGCGGGTTGTGGGGCTGAAGAGACGGAGGAAGGGGATGCAGGCGCTGAGCTGGTCGACGAAGATGTAGTCGTAGTTCTGGAGCTCCGAGGTGAGAAGGAGGTGCAGCGTGAGGTGCAGCTGGCGCAGAATGGCGCAGAGGATGCTGAAGCGGCCGAGGATGTTTGGTGGGAAGAGGGAGTTTCCAGCAACACGGACTTTCAGGGTGCCTGTCAAGGGATGGGATAGTTAGAGAGAGCTGTAGAGACATCAAGAGCAATTGGGGACAGGTTTATAGAGACCATTGCGGGCTTCGTCGAAGCAGTGTCGCGGGTCACAGTGGGAGGTGTAGATTGTGACTTCGTGGCCTCTATCCTGGAGACCCACAGCTGCGTCGACGACCAGGCGCTCAGCACCGCCAATTCCGAGGTCTGGGTGGATGAAGAGGATCCTCTTGGGCGACTCTGCAGGCTTTGGCGGGAGCGGGGCCATGGTAATGTTTCGAGTTTCGAGTTTCGAGTTTCGAGTATTGCTTCGGCGTGAGCGTATGGAGTGCAGTGTGCAGTGTGCAGTGTGCAGTGTGCAGAGTGCAGCTCTAGGGGATCTCTGTCTGTCTCTGTCTCTGGCTGTCTCTCTCTGTGTCTGTGTCTGTCTGTGTCTGTCTGTCTCTGTCTGTCTCTGTCTGTCTCTGTCTGTCTCTGTCTGTCTGTGTCTCTCCCTCGCTGCTGTGGACTGGACCGACCTGGCTGACGTTGCGTTCCCGCACGCGCCCTGTCACCGCAAATGCCCAATTACGTAGTTGCAAGAGCTAGCTTTGGCCCGGGGGGGGGGGGGTTTGGCTGCACGTGACTCTGCACCCCTGCACACACCTCGCAGACACGCGCTAGGGCGAGTCGGGCATCTGAGCTCTGGGAAGAGGAAGAGAGCTGCGGAACAGAGCAGAGAGAGAGCAGAGAGAGAGCAAACAGAGAGCAAACAGAGAGCAGAGAGAGAGCAAACAGAGAGCAGAGAGAGAGCAAACAGAGAGCAGAGAGAGAGCAAACAGAGAGCAGAGAGAGAGCAAACAGAGAGCAGAGAGAGAGAGCTGAGCAGATATCTCGACATATCCCGAGTCTTCACACATCCCACAACACAACAAACCCAACCATGGGCGAGCCCTCCGCCGCTGCCACAGCAGCAGCCCCCATACCCCTCGCGGACGAGGACGAGGCCCTCTCGCCGCTCTCGCTCACCATCCGCTTCACAAACGCCCTCCCGGACACACCCCTCTTCGTCCCGTCGGCCGCCACCACCACCGTTTCCGCGCTCAAGCAGCAGCTGCGCGACACCCTCCCGCCCGACCACGCCCGCCGCCGCCTCCGCCTCATCTACGCCGGCAAGGTCCTCCCCGACACCGCCACCCTCGCCTCCCAGATCGCCGCGCCCCGGCCGCCGCCAGCCTCCAGCGGAAAAGGCAAGGAGCGCGCAACCGACGCCGCAGACGACGCCCGCGCCCGCCCCGTCTACATCCACTGCAGCGTCGGCGATGTGCTCACGGACGAGGAGCTGGCGGCCGAGGCTGCAAACGAGAAGATGACGGCACCGGAGCCGGCGGTTGCGCCGCCGCGCACGACCCTGCCGCAGCCGCTGGGGTTCGATCGGTTGCTGTCGGCGGGGTTCTCGGAGGCGGATGTGGCGAGCCTGCGGATGCAGTTTAATCGGTTGCATGGGTACTCGCGCGACGAGGAGGAGAATGCGAGGCTGCTGGAGGATCGGTGGATTGATGAGAGTGCGGGGCAGGGGCAGGAGCTGGCGGATGGGAGCCCCGCGGGGAGCTATGAGGATATGTTTGTGGGCATGGCGATTGGGTTCTTTTGGCCCGTGGCCATATTTCTCATGAGGGAGGAGGGCGTGTTTAGTAAGAGACGGCAGATGGCCGTGGTGGCGGGGCTGTTGGTCAATTTGGCGTTTTCGGTGTTGAGGATTTCGTCGTAGGTACTAGGTTTGGGCGGTTGTATATAGATTTTATGGCTGGTGGGTGTTCTTTGTTTTAATTGTAATTGCATAGATAGCTTGTTCTATACCAAAAGTGTTTTTTGATCGTGCTTTGAATATGCCACCGTCTGTAGAAGACCAGAGTTGGAACACTTGACAGTGCAAATAGTGGTATGTAGTCGATTAGTTGAACGCAATATTTGTTCCAGATCCTGAAACAAAGCTGGGACTCAGCCATTGAGCTTACTACCGCGTAGTAGTCTCTTTGTCTCTAAAAATTCGTTCGGACACAATCTATCACTCGGGCCTGCTCCACTCTTACAACTGGCAAATCCACTAGAAATTTGGGTAAAACAACATCGCATCGGTAGAGAATGGTAAGAATATGCCGCCTTGTCTTCGTATTTCAACGAAGTATGCCTTAACACATGTCATCGCGGTTCTAAAGACCGCAGTAGGTGGAACCAAGACATCCTCCACGAAACCTAACTCTACCAGCTCATAGCCATGTACCCCACTGTCACAGCAAATGTCGCAACAAATAGCCGGAATCAAGCTATTCTACCGGCCCCACAGCTTCAGTATAGACTTCGGTTTCGAAACGGATGCTGCCCGGTTGAGTATAGAATACACAATATATGTGCAGTCACTTCTCGAGGAAGAGCAAGTATTCCGAATCCTTACGTATGCATAGTAGGCGAGTAAAGCATATGCATATCTCCGATATTGTGTATAATCGAAGTTCCAGGTCGCTTCTAGCTCATCTTCGGGCGGGAAGACTAGACAGAAAGCTATCATGAGGCTGCCAGTTCGAGGAGACCTTCACCCCGGCCCCCTTTCCCCCTTTCTCTGAAAAACCCACACTTTTTATTCTGTGGAAACATGAGCCCTGTGGATTGGAGTTCCACTGGTGGGTGATAATGATATTATCCAGAGAGGTTGACAATCATGAATCTCTGTTAGGCTGCATATAATGTTCTGTTGTGTTGTGTTGTGATGTGCTAGTTGTTCAATCACGGGGGGGTGCGGCCCTGTAGGATATAGCACACTAGCCGGCCCTCGATCCGCAACCCTCAGCTTCAACCCTCTTTAAGCTTTCTACATGTAGTTAGTCTATGAAATCCTCCATGTTATTCTACGCACAGCACTCATTACTTGCTGAGTTATTATTCTGCATTTGCTCAAACCCCAATGGTTTATAGGCTATATGAACTAAATTCAACTTACACCTTGTGAATAAGAACATTTGCAATTGAACACCTCTACCAGCGTACTGGCATCAATTTCAAGTTTCCCCGGTTAATTGCAGGTCCCTCTGTCTGTAAAGGTAAGCAAACTTTAACGGTATGAAACCTGAAGCTTGGGTCTTTGTGCAATGACTCGTGAGCCTTACAGAGAGGTGTAACTGGTTGCTAATGATGTTTGGGTTTTTCGGCACAGAGTGTTTGGGAGTATTTGTAGGCATATAGGTACACTTTGCAACTTCTGGCACTATGTTTACGATATATCGTGATTTCTCAGCCATAATTTTTACTATGAGTACATGTGGATCCGCGAATGAAGACTTTGCCCAAGAGAATACATACCATGCTGTTGGCAAAAGGAGTTTCTTCAGTATGCTCAAGACTGCGAACCGGCTTAAGTTCCTAACGGAGAGCTTATCTTACGCCTTGAGCTTAATGCTAGAAATCTTGATAGAAGTTGAGATAGCTTAAGTCAAAGGCCGAGTTCACCTTGACCCGGCTTGTATTTTTATGAAAGCCGGTATGATCCTATGTAGCGATGTTTGACATAGTAAAAGCTACTTGTTTAACATTCTGAGTTCGTATCCAAATGAAGACCTTTGTGAAGGTGATGTCTCGGCCATGAAATCTAAACACATCCGATCTGCACTCAGTACTCACTTATGGCCTTTATTCGCTACCGTTTTGCAGATTCCCATCTTCTGAATCAAAAAGATTTCAAAGTCACCGATTGGGAATGTTACTATTTAGCTTAGCACTCCGCAACTAACTAGTGGGGTACGCGACACATGGATTAGGGTTGCCAAGGCCCCCCCCCCCAACGTCACGCAAAGCTCCGAGTCCTCCTCACCTCGAGCTCACCACGACACCAGCTCACAGCACCAACCCCCACAATGGCATGTTTCCCCCCCTACTCCATCCAAACCACACCCCAACTAACATCTCCACCGTAGTCCCAATCATTACGGCCCTACCTCAAGTGCGTGCGGTCGTCGCTGACCGCAGCAATCACACTCTCCAACTTTGCCTCGCAGACGGCCGAACGCCATAACGTGCCCGAGGTGGAGTCCGGAAAGACCCCGGAGGTCCTGCTGAACCCGCTCACAATCTCCCGTAATGAGAACGAGAGGGTCCTCATTGAGCCCAGTGTCAACTCCATCCGTGTCAGCATCAAGATCAAGCAGGCGGATGAGATTGAGCATATCCTGGTGCACAAGTTCACGAGGTTCCTGACGCAGAGGGCGGAGAACTTCTTTATTCTGAGGAGGAAGCCTGTTAAGGTTTGTTTTGTTGTTTGGATGGAGGGGATAGAGGAGGGGCTCTGCTCTCCCCCCGCATCCAGGGAGACACGGGCTAACGAAGAATAGGGATACGACATCTCCTTCCTGATCACAAACTTCCATACGGAAGCTATGTTGAAGCATAAGCTTGTCGACTTTATCATCCACTTTATGGAGGAGGTCGATAAAGAGATCTCCGAGATGAAGCTCTTCCTCAATGCCAGAGCCCGTTTCGTCGCCGAAGCTTTCTTGACCCCTGTACGACCCCTGGACCCCTCTTCCCCTGCCCCCCGTGCTGACGAGTACAATGCAGTTCGACTAAATAATCTATTTGTGACGGAATCGGTTCATTTCTTTTCTCTACAAACTAGAATGCGTGCGAAGAAAACAAAGCGGGATATTCGGTTTGGTGTAGTTGCCAAGGGAGCTGTGTTGAGTGAAGATAAAAGGATACCAAGAACAGTTTATTTTACCACCGCAAGGACCTTAAAGAGGAATAACAAGAAAAAAAGAGACGCGTGATGCAGATATAATAGATATAAAAACAAACAAATAAAGCGTGCACCGATCGTCCCCCGCGGGTCTATAAAGACCCGCCAACCAAAAAAGAGAGAGCTATTTAAGCTTTCTTTTTGGGAAAAGCCATCACCTCCTACTGAACTATGTAATCCCCTTAAACACCAACGCCATCCATCCATTTTTCGAACCTGAAAAAGAAAAGTAATAAGTAATAAAAAAAAAAAAGGCTACAATATCACCTTGAATGCTCCACACAGATTAGACATTAAATTTAGTGCCTCACCCGCTTTAGTTATCATGGCTGTTCTCATGATTTCTCGGCGTCATCTCGCTCCTTCCCAACAAACATATCCTTGGTCTTTGGCTTCTTCTTGCCCTTACCAAAGTACAACGACTTCAACCTCTGTAGCTTTTTAAGCTTGCTATCGTCCTCCGCGTCTCTTTCTGCGGGGGTTGCAGACCTCTCCTCTCTTTCTTGTGGTGGAGAACTGACGGTACTATAAGTGCTAAGCGCGCTTGATGCAGGCTTGGGATTTTGTTGCAAGACTTGCAGGAGCATTTTCCAGCCTTCTTCCTTCCCTTGAGAGGTGGCATTGATCCATGGGCAGTACTACTCACATCAGCAAACGCTCGCTATCAATTGAGTTCCAAAACATACCTCACGATGCTCTCCAATCACATCCAGTCTGCTAACACTTGCTTCCTCCTCCCCATCATCGGAGTCCACGTCCATGATATCGTCCGCCTTGGCCTTCTTCCTGAACAGCCACAGCCCCAATCGTCTAAAGCACGCTGAACAAGTAACCAAGCTTGGGATCCCCGGGTCTTCGTTCTGCCATCCAAAGAGCGCTAGTATAACCGCCGACTCAAAGATCGGCCCGTTATCCGTGTCCTCGGAAGAGTGTTTGATCGAGCAGATATCGAGCTCAGGGTGCGATAGTGATGGGGGGATCTCATTGCGCACTCGGAGGAGCGAGGTATATCGTTCCGTGAATGCAGGGCGGGAGACAGTAGGGTTGGCAAGCTGAAGGCGATAGATTGTTTCGTCACAGCCGCGCTTCTTCCACAGACAGGAGTCTTCGTGTTCGCTGATGATCATGGTTCCGTAACGTTCGACAATTGCTCTAGCTATCTGGGAATTAGTAGAGCTGTATTATAGCAGGCCAGACTCATATGCAGGCGGGGCTGGACTCACCCGTATCAGGATCTACCTCTTCGTCCACCTCGAGCTTGACTACCATTTCCTTCTTGCACACCGTGCACCTGACCCTATTCTTCTCCGTGCAGACCCATCCTCTCTTTGCCCATACGACCTCATTGACAAGAGCTGGTTTCGCACTCCATTTATCCACGCTATAGCTCCTCAGGCGCTCCAGGAATGCCGCTCTGTCCCATGGCGCATACGCAGGAGTCTGCAATGGCTCGTTAAGGTTGCTATGGGTGTGGCTGTTCTTAAGAGGCGAGCCCACGAGCGCTGAGCTAGCTGATACCGTGCTCTTTACGGATCCCCCGGGGCTGACGGCGCGGATGCTCGGGCGGGAACGGCTCGGGAGCCCGATCTTGCGCTTTTTGTGCGCGTCTGCGAGGTCCGAGGGGGATTCCGGAGGTGGTATGCTCGGTGTTTCTACCGGAGGTGCAGGAGGGGCGGCAGGTGGTGGGCCATTTATGAGGTTGTGTAGCTTGCGCTTCGTGGAGTAAAGCATTTGGGGGTGGGGAAATTGAGGAGTCTACTACTATGAAGGTTGTAAACTGTCGGTTGTGAAACGGAATCGAGGAGTGGGTAGGGTAGGGAGGGATGGGAGATTAAAGGGGAGAGGGCTATATGTGCACGTTATATGGGGCAGGGTGTGGCTATTGTTATTGTTGTTGGAGAATGTTTTGGTTTTGGGGCTGTGGGGAGAGAGAGCTTGTGATTAAAGTGAAGTCATGTTTACTTTCCATGTTTTCTTTTTTCCCTTTTTCCATTTGGCCCATGCAGGTGTCTCTGAAGGAGGCCTTGGCGGTGCGTGCACAGCTGTCTTGGCATTCCAACGACTGAGGGATGGGAGCGTGGAGAGGGAAGACGAGCATGCAATGGGCGGATAGGGGAACGCGTTACAGCTACGAGACATCGTTACATGTATGTGCCTATTCTTCACAGCAAGAGAAGGTAGAACGTGACCGGTTTGACAGCTGCAGGCATACATGTATGTATGTAGCTCCAACTCTGTCTGCCATGTTCTCTGGGAACGTTTCAATAAAGGATGGGCCCCCGCATGCATTGACAGGCCACACTGTTACAATTTAATGCAAATGCACAACTTTAATTCTAAAAAAATCCCCACCTGCCTCTGCTCCTTCCCTTAATCTTATCAACAAACTACGATATAGGGTACTACAAATGATTTTGGGTTTCTGTCGGTTTGGCTGTTTACATGAGAGCAAGGTCTCCGAATTTCTCCTACAGTGGGTGTCAGTGATCAAAAGTCGGGAAATAATATTATTGTAACGCAGGGTGTAAGCTCGTACCCTGTAACCAGGCACCATCCATCGGCCCTTGGAAACCATCTGTTCGGTGCGAGCATCGATGTCGGGGCGAGCCTTGGCAATGTCGTCCTATAGAAATATTTGATCAGCTATGTTCCTGGAGATAGGTCGGAGAGTACAGAAAGGGTGCCATTGAAGATGAATATATCCGAGAGCAGTCGGGTAAAAGGATGTAGCTCCATAGACCGGTTCTTCCCTCGACATTTCCCCTCTTATTCCTTCCATAGCACCCTATCCAATCCCCTGCATCCGTATACATACCACAGTCAAGTCCTCAAATGGCCTGGCCTCCTCAATGTTCTTCAAGGTCTTCTGCAAATCCATAAGCTCCGCATCAACCTTGCCCTTGGTGGCCTGGGCATTCTGGATAGCCTGGGCCTCGAAAGCCTCGATGGTCTTCAACTGCTTGGCGATATCGACGGTGACGGGCTTGAAAGTCTTGTAGGCCCTCTCAATCTCGTCAACGATGGCCTGGTTCTTGAGGATAGCGCGGTAGTGGTTGATATCCAACTCCTGGGGCAGGGCACTGAGAACGACGACCTTGCGGCGGGCCTCCTCGTTACGCTTCTTGAAGGCCTGGAGGGAGGCGACGGTCTGACCCTTTAGGCCGAGGGAGGAGGTGATCTTGGCCCACTCGATCTTGAGGGCGGCGCTTCTCTGCGGGGTGGGGTGTTAGACATTGGGACGGGATTGAGAGGTGAGATTTGATGGTTGGGAGGTCTACTTACTGCGGGAGCAGACATGGTGACGGTGGGGGTGAGAGGAGATGAATTGATACGCGGGGAGGCGGGTATTCGAGGGTGCGGTGATGATTGAAGACTTCTTTCTTGTTACCGGGCGATGATGGAGGTCTGAAAACCACCCGGGATGAAACGAAAAGCAGCAGCCGACTTAGTCAGCACGGCGGTTTCGTGGGGTTCTCGCCGCCAAGGCTTTTTTGGGAGGTTGCCGAAGTGAAATTTCCCCAACGTCAAGCAATTCGGATCGCCGAATATCAAACCAATCCCACGAGATCTAAAACAGCTACGAGGACGGAAGGAAGGACGGAAGGGTTGTCCCCTCAATTAAACCAATATGATGCCTCTCGCTCCCCTCCGAACTGGGCTTTCCTGTGCAAGCCGCAGAGCCTTCTCAACCACCCCACGGGCGTTCAACATATCCCCCGAGTCCCCTTCCTACATTGAGATCCCACGCCCGCCACAAATTCGCTCGATCCAGCCTCCCCGTAAAAAGGGAAAACTCCCACACCCAAAATCTCTCCCATTGGACCTCGACGCTACCCCCGCCACGCCAGAGCCCTCCCGGGAGTCCCAGAGGCCTCTCGAGGGTGTTGACGAGGAGACCAAAGCATACATCAAGTGGAAGAGCGCTCTCGCCGAAAACCGTCGTCGCAATCTACGTGAAGGTGTTGCAGAGCTCCAGCTACGTCAGAAGGATCAGGCAGACCACCGTGCAAATGTGCTCAAGAAGCGGACAGAGGAGCGTGAAGAAAAACTGAACGCGAAGCAACGGGAGGATGTGAGGTTGACACTGCCATCGGTACTGTCAACTCTGCGTATCGACGATGGGTCTACTATGCAGCGGATTACCCCGGAGAGGCTGGCTGAGAAGAGTGCGCTCAGGGAGACGAAGGAGGCAGCCAAGTCAGCGGCTAGGATCGAGAGCTTCCACAATCTGTACCTGAACGCCAAGGACTTTATCATAACGGAGAAGCAGCTGGACGAGGCAATTGAGAAGGAATTCGGGCCGATGGATCATCTCTACAAGTCATTGCCACCAACAGTGGAGGATATGCTGCTCCAGGTCTCGAACATTCACGGCGACTTTGCTAAGAATCCGAAGATGATGGAGATTGCTGGAGAGCTTACGGGAGCAAAGTTGGCGCCGGAGAAGAAGGGGTCAAGGGATACAAGCGCATTTGGAGCTGATCACGATGACGATTCGTTAGTTAACCGGACCTTCTAAGCGCCTCAAGGGCTTCGGGTATGAGGATATCAAAAAGCTGTGGCAGTGTAACAATAGGTTGGAGATTAGAGCGATATTTGGTTTGAGAATTCTTCATACTTGTGTATATATTATTCATGCCATTCGATTTGTATGCTCAGAAGCGTGTGTTAGTGAGCTTTGCATGAACTTCTTTCCCCACAGAAAATCACTCGGGTAGTGATAATCCATGACCGGCCTAGCTGAACATTACCGGGGTCTTAGTCAGCGTGACTGTCAACGCTGGCTCTCCGTGCCAAGAGATCCAAGACTTCGCTCGCACACAAACCCACCGATTCTTCCCAATATCGCCACGCTCAATCCAGATTAATCAAACCTCAACCACCACCACGCAAATTCCTCACCAAACGTAATTTTTCGCTTGGAAGACTGATCCAAAATGTCTAAAATCACAGTCGGTATGTCGCCCAAATCGCCCACGGCGAAAAAAAACGCTTCTTTTCACTTTTCACGATGGAATTGGGGTCACTAACGAGTTTTCTTGCATGGAATTACAGCCGGAGTCCGTGGTAACGTCAAGGAGTTGTTGGACTACTCCAACAATGAGAAGAAGCGTAACTTCCTCGAGACCGTCGAGCTCCAGATCGGACTCAAGAACTACGACCCCCAGAGAGACAAGCGTTTCTCCGGAACCGTCAAGCTCCCCCAGATCCCCAGGCCCAACATGTCCATCTGGTATGTCAATCTCGACGCCCAGCAAGCAAGCCAAGGCGACCAACTAACCGGGTTACTAGCATTCTCGGAGACCAGCACGATATCGATCGTGCCAAGCACCACTCCTTCGAGTCCATGTCCGTTGATGACTTGAAGAAGCTCAACAAGAACAAGAAGCTCATCAAGAAGCTTGCTCGCAAGTACGATGCCTTCATCGCCTCTGAGCAGCTCATCAAGCAGATTCCCCGTCTCCTCGGACCCGGTCTCTCCAAGGCCGGAAAGTTCCCTACCCCGGTCTCCCACGCTGAGGACCTTGCCGCCAAGGTCACCGACGTCAAGAGCACCATCAAGTTCCAGCTCAAGAAGGTTCTTTGCTTGGGTGTCGCCATTGGAAACGTTGGTATGACTGAGGACCACTTGATTGGAAACATCATGTTGGCCATCAACTACCTTGTCTCTTTGTTGAAGAAGGGATGGCAGAACGTTGGAAGCTTGACTATCGTAAGGATTTCCCCTTCTTTTTTTCTCGGATTTATGTTGGTGGAGTGGTGGCTAATTGTGATATTTCCGCCGTATAGAAAGCTTCCATGTCTCCCCCTAAGCGCCTTTACTAGAGTGCTTGTTTCCTTGTCTGGATGGCGCTAGGCTGGTTTGCATGATTTGAGTCTCTTTTTTGCTAAAAGCTGGGTTCCTGGGGAATGCCTTTCTTTTTTTTCCATTTATGGGTCATCATGTAAACTGGGTAACGCAATAAGGATAGAAACAAAAACAAAAGATATTGGTCAAACATCGTTCTTGTGCTCTTGGTGATATCAACAAACGTGAAGTGAAAGGCAATACTCGATTCTTGTCTTCTCATTCAGATTATCACGGACAATGGCTCGTAAAATCTCACCAATGATTAACAATTTTCTTATTACAGCACGTTCAACTGGATCATTGCTCAGACCCAACAGAACTTTTCTAATATCAATGATAACTTGGTAGTGTACAAAAAAACATTCATAAAAAAAGAGAAAAAAGAGAAACCCTGCCATCATCTGTGATGTTAATATTCCCATTACGCCGCAACTTAATGCAACAAAAAAAGTGTATAGAAATTCCTCCACCAAGTGCCCATTCTATCCCGTTCACCAATGCCATCTCTAAACCATAGTTCCTCTCTCGAAACTGTCTCTGATTTCTCCAGTATACTAAAAACCAGTCAGTATCATCCTACAACCCAAGAAAGAACCACAAAACTTACCTTGTTGTAATACCTCGCCAGCTTCTGGTTGAACTGCTTGTTCTTGTCATTGATATATGTGACGTCCTCCTCGTCACCACCCTTGCGTCTCGCCATGCGTGCATCCTCCGCCTTTCGCAGATCGCCCACCAGACGATCAACCGCCTGCTTACTCGGCTTGTTATCGATAAAGCCCAGCGAGTCCGCATCCGCATAAAACTCTCCGTCACGATCAATGGCAATGAGCTCCCCGTCCTCCGTCTCGACGATCGTCCCATCACGCACAAGCTTCGCCTTGTCGGCCGCATACGACTCCATATCCGGCTTCAGCTCGCGGATCTGCTTCTTGTAGATCTTCCTGGCCGTCTGTGTATAATCTGCGCCGCCACCGTCAGCACCACCGCTACCACTACTGCTGGAATAATGAAGGACAAACCTTGGAAAGCAACATCCTCAACGTGCTTCTTCTTCTTCTCGACCCGGCGGTCCCAACGCTCGCTCTCCTCAACAGTCCAATCCCACGCCCTCTTGCGCTCAAAGTCCTCGCCCTCGTCCTCGGCGTCGGCCTTGGCAAGCTTGAACTCTGCCTCGGCGCGTCGGCGGTTCAGGCGCGAGGTCTCGGAGGGGTCGATGGCCTGGCGGCGGCGCTCGGCGTAGACTTCCTTGCGGTTTACTTCTGCGGATTTTTTCTGCGGTTGGTCAGCGGATGAACGTGCGTGGTTGGGGATGGAAGAGGAGGGGGAGAGGTACGGCGCGGCCTTTGAGGGCTTTCCAGCGCTCGAAGCGGTCTTGTGTCTTGTTGTCGGGGGCGGCGTCAGCTCCTTGGGTGGTGGTGCTGTCGTCGGGAGGTGAGGTGTCGGTGCTGGATTCGACCTGGTTCAGTTTTGAGCGGCGGGGCTCCTGGTCGGCGGCAGAGGATTCGCCTGACGGGGCTTTTCTCTTGGGCATTATTTCTGTGATTTGTGGGTGTTGGATGCGAGGTTTTTGTGGTTTTTTGTGTTGAAGGTAGGGGTTGTGATGGTGGTTGTGATGGTGATGCGAGAGCTGGGGAGGTCTGAACGCCTGTTTTTGGTGTTTAGCGTTGGCGATGAAGGATCTTATCTTATCTCATCAGGTGGGTCAATGATTGACTTGCAGGTAATGATCAAGTTACAGCTTGCTGAGTTAATAACAGAATATCTAATCAAGTATTAAGTCATCATTCTACTTCAAATATTGAGAATTCAGCTTCGAGGCTCTCAGGAGGTCCAGGCACAAGCATAAATGATATACAATACTTAGTGGACATAGAATGCTTCTGGCATAAACTACCGCAGTAATTCGTCTCAGCGGACTGTCACACAAGACGCCGAGGCTGCCTTTTACAGCGAGTATGAGGGCGTTTTCAAGACAAATGACTAAATAGGGGGGTTCCAACGTACTGTGTGACCGTTCGCTGAGGCGAATTAATGTGGTGCATGTATATGTAATATATCAGAGATGAACGCCGTGAAAAATATACATCTCAGCATGACTTTTTTGTAAATTTATTTTCAAGATTAATTGCCATTTTTCTGGATCTTATTAGCCCTCCTCCTCGTGGGTTAGGTGTGATATTGATCAGCTCTCTGGGCCCCATAATCGCATGCAGCTTGAACATGTATCTTAGCTTCTCGTTAATTATATAGTTTGTCTCCTCCCTCCCCTCTCCCCCCCTATTGCCTAGCCAACCGTTAGACTTCATTGAATTAATGATCAGGACCGGATATAGGGAGTTAGGGTTTAGCGACCTACCTATCTATCTATAAAAGAATATGTCGTGTAAAACTTTCGGGAAACCCTAACCCTACTCCTGGCGCCCTCAGGTATCAATCTCATGGCTAAAAAAAGCATAAGATAAGGTAGTCTCGGAGATGATGGGAAGGCCTGATGGCGTAGAATAAGGGCCCGGGTACCTGTACTCGGGCTATAAATGATCATCACGGGTGCTAGAAGAAATGACAGCCTGCCGGGGAGCGAGAAAAATAGAGAAAAAAAAGAATTTATATTGCCCCGATTGGGATTCGAACCCAAGATCTCCTCACAGCTCTAAACCTACGTGCTGAGTTTCTGGTGTGTTAACCACTACACTACCAGGGCATGTCTGTTTGCGCGGCAGAGTTAGCTTTGAGCCCATCTCTGCGAGCCCCCTTGGTAGGGAGGGCAGGGTCTTGTACACCACTACACGCCCTGCCGGGGAGCGAGAAAAAAAGCTAGCGAGAAAAATAGGAAAAAAGAATTGATATTGCCCCGATTGGGATTCGAACCCAAGATCTCCTCACAGCTCTAAACCTACGTGCTGAGTTTCTGGTGTGTTAACCACTACACTACCAGGGCATGTCTGTTTGCGCGGCAGAGTTAGCTTTGAGCCCATCTCTGCGAGCCCCCTTGGTAAGGCAGGGTAGAGCATTGTGTGCACTTACTACACTAGTATTCCGATATAAAATAATAGACGGGCAGGCCCCGGCAAAGTCCGAGATCTTCGGGCAATATTCTCAAACCGTCTATACTTATATACTAGTACTCTACCTACCCCTTTAACTTCAATGCCTTATTTATCTAGACGGCCCTCTGCAAACACTAAAGCGTTAGTCTATTTCTGCGATAAATCGTTTTTCCTCACCCCAGTTTGATGTTCGGTGGTGGTTCTCCTTCTCCAACTTGTGGCATGACAGGACATGTACACTTCTTAGAAGTTTCTCTACAAAAGGAAAGTATCGAAACATCTAGAGCAATATCAAGACTTCGAGTATTTCATATCCTCGTCTTGTTCCCATCAAAAATAGTAGATACAGGTAACGAGATATACAGTAGAGAGCAGACAGAACTCTACCATTATGAACTGCATTGCATCTTTCAGCTGATCAGGTGACCACCACCACCGCTGGGATGACCTTTCAATGGGCAGAGGTTGTAATGACCGGCTGGCTGGATCGATGTTAGTACGTGGAAGCTGAGCATAAGCCCTCGAGATAAGTGCCTGGGAAAGTCGGCTGATAGCCGGTCAAAAGAGCGAAGGAATCATTCTCAGAATGCTCCTGATTGCAATCCGACAGTAGGTTTGCTCCGAGACCTTGAAGAAAACCATCAAACAAAAGCTCTTCTTCAAAGACAGAAATGCGGCGATGATGCCAGGTATTGTGATGATGGCGGGGTATTTATTAATCGTTGTTTGTGTCGGCGCTTCCCAGGTGCTGCTTGAAAATAGGAATGCCATATTTATGGGGGTTCTCAGCTGCCAACGAGTCACGCTGTCAAGGCTTGCCTAGCAAGGGCTGGATACTCTAGTTGATATTCGCTGGCCTTGAGGTGAATAAGTGTCTTCTGTTCGTAGCTCGTTAAAAGCAGGAAAAGAGTTGACTCTCTTCCCTTCTCACCATCATCATTAGTGCGAGTGCTTCCAATCAACAGCTTCTGATTATTAACCACTATAGTCAGATATCGTCGATGGCAATAGTGAAGATTATATCAGAGATAACAGTGAATCGAATCCATACAATTGTTAGTCCAAAGGAGCTCCAAACGTCGTAACTATAATCCACTAATAGTTGCAGGTAGACCCATTAAACCGCGCTCAACAATACATGCCTAGAGAGCAATTATCCTCTATAACCTTTGAACATAACGGCTTACATACTTGGATACCTATTTCTACGACATTACTGGGGTTTGTAGCGGTTGCAGAGAAGAAAACCATCTTAAAGAGACTAGCACAATATAAAGATCACCAAAAATCACTCGTCGGTGCCAAGTTTTCCGCCAAGGCACACTAGCGGCTCCAAAAGTTTTCGCCAGAAGAAAAACCTCGAGATTCCTGACCTCGCACCTACTACCACACGCCCCAACAGCACGAATTGCGGACATTCACACAACACCACAATGTCCCTCAAAGTCACCCAGCAAAATGGGATCTCGGTGTACACCATCAGCGGCTCCAACACCGGCCGCTCGCTCCCCGACTGGCTTGCGCGCAAACGGAAGAGGTCGCTCAAGAATGACGAGGCCTACATGAACCGCATTGAGCTGATTCAGGACTTTGAGTTCGAGGAGGCGAGTCAATGCATCAAGGTCTCGGAGGATGGAGAGTATGCTATGGCGACCGGTTAGTGAATTTCTATATATCTTCCGGGAGAGATGTAGATATGGACTTAGAGATACAAGAGCTGACGCTGTACTGGCAGGAACCTACAAACCCCAACAGCACATCTACCACCTCCCCTCATCAGCATTGAAATACGCCCGCCACACCTCCTCCCTAAATATCAAGTTCATCCTCCTGTCGACCGACTACACAAAGTCCCTCCATCTACAGACTGACCGCTCCCTCGAGTTCCATACGGCAATGGGCTGTCACCACACGACTCGTATCCCCCGCTACGGCCGCGACCTTGCCTACCTGAAGCCCTTTGCGCATGTAATAGTCCCTGCCGAAGGCAAAGAAGTCTTCCGTCTCGACCTCGAAGGCGGCCGCTTCCTGAAACCTTTCGAGCTCGGCGGCTACGACGACATCGACGCAACCGTCAACTCTGTCGAGTGTGTGGGTGTCGCCGACGGTAGCCACGGCCTCATGGCCTTCGGGACCGACCTAGGCACCACAGAGTTCTGGGACCCGCGCAGCCGGAACCGCATTGGCGTGCTATCCCCGCCACCAAAAACTAGCATCTACAACAACGTGCTCGGGGAAGCCGCCACCCCCGGTGTCACAGCTGTTGAGTTTGCGTCCAATGGTCTCACACTTGCTACCGGAAACGCAGCCGGAATAGTGACGCTATACGACCTGCGTTCGCCGACCCCATTGCTGTCGAAAGACCAAGGATACGGCTTCCCAATCCAAAACTTGGCTTTCCTACACTCCTCGACCAACCGTGCATCCGGCGTCGAGAACGCCTACGAGTCCACCTCAACCCCCAAGATCCTTTCCTCCTGCAAGCGTATCATCAAGATCTGGGACGCGACCAACGGCAAGCCCTGGACCTCCATCGAGCCTTCCGTAGACCTCAACGACGTCTGCGTCGTCCCCAACTCCGGCATGATCCTCACTGCCAACGAAGGCCGCGAGATGCACTCCTTCCTGATCCCCGCACTCGGCCCCTCACCCTGGTGGTGCGCCCACCTCGATACCCAGATCGAGCAGCTTGCCGACCGCTTCATCAACGACCCCGACGCCTATGTCACCGGCGCCGCCCCCAACGAAACTGTCACATACGACAACTACAAGTTCCTCACCAAAGCCGAGCTCACAAACCTCAACCTCGACCACCTCCTCGGCGGCAACTCCCAGAAGGGCGGAAGTCTCATCAGGCCGTACATGCACGGTTACTTCATCGACCAGCGCCTCTACGACGAGGCGCGCCTCATCGCCGACCCCTTCGAGTGGGAGCGCGAGCGCACCCGCATGGTCAAAGACAAGATCGACAAGGAGCGCGAGTCCCGCATCCGCTCCACTGGCAAGGGCGCAAAAGTCAAGATCAACAAACGCCTCGCCGAGCGTCTCGCTACCCTCGAACAGAAGCTGGAGCGCACCCGCAAGCGGGAAGGCACTGCCTCAGACAACGAGGAGGCGGCAGAAGAAGAAGAAGAGGCAGCAGCAGCACCAAAAGACGAAAAGAAGGTCCTCAAAGACGACCGTTTCAACAAGCTCTTCCAGAACCCCGACTTCGAGGTCGACGAAAACACCCTCGAGTTCCAACAACTCAACCCCTCCACCAAACCTCGCGGCCGCACCGCCGCCGAGGAAGAAGACGACTCCGACGCCGCCGCACCACGCCCCAAGGGCCTCAATCTCGACTCGGACTCGTCCTCCTCGGAATCCGACTCGGAGCCAGACTCGGACGACGGAAAGCAGCACAACCAGAAATCCGCGCGCAGCAAGAAGGCGCACCAGAAGAAGGCGGCCAAGGCGGAACCCGAAATGCGCATCTCAACCTCGTCGTACAAGAAGAGCGGCCACGACACGCGGGGCTACCCCTCATCGGGCGTGCAGAAACGTCTCAACAAGGAGAGGTCCTTCGGCGCGCGCGCGGCCTCGGGCGAGGGTGCTGGCGGGCGGGCCAAGCGCGACAGGCCCGCTCAGATCATGGGCGATCGGGAGATCTCTTTCTTTGCCAGTGGGTCCAAACGGGGCGGTGCTGAGGGTGGTAGAGGCGACAGAGGTGGTGGTGGTAGAGGCGGTGGTAGAGGTGGTAGAGGTGGCAGAGGTGGTGCTAGTGGAGGAAGGGATCCGAAGGAGAGGAGGAGTGCTAGCGGGAATGCGTTCAGGAGAGACGGAGTCGCAAAGTAATTTAATGTAAAAACAATTAGCAGCAGCAGGTGGACTCGAAAAAGAATGAAAAGGCGGGTGCTTTGTATATAATTATTTTAGTTTTTTTTTTCTGTCTGTCTAGCAAGGGGGGGAGGCATGAACTACCCTGGGCGTTATATGGGGATTTCTTCTTTTTTTGGTTTTTTAAAAGTTTGCTCCTCTTTTTGTATTTATACCTGCTGTAGCTAGCTAGAAGCCACCTGCTTGGTGGAGAGTTGGTAGTTTTCTGGAATCTTACTTTGAGTATAACCAGAACTGTGGTTTCTTTCTTGAATAGTTTCTGATTCGTTGAGACCTGAATCGAGCTATGGGGGGATCCATTCCAGTGTTTTGGAGAGCTCAAGCATGATTCATAACATCGTGATATTTTTTGCTACATATTTATGTACATTACAAGAGATCCAGAAACTAAACTAAGAGTATTATAAACTACTCGTACCTATCATATACATAGTCATACACCTCCTCGTCCCCTCCGCTCCATAAATTACCATAACCTACATCATAAACTAAAGCTACTACTAATATCATCGGCACACAAAGCACAGGAAGGAGCACGTTTTCCTATACTTCCTGAGCGCAACATCCTGTCTATCTCTACACCACCGCCTCAACTTCCATCCCATATACAGCCTCTGCCTCTCCCTCCTAAGGGCGCCGCGGCTCCTTGACTCCCAGTACCTCACCCCGTACCAGAGATAGTTTTCAGACAGTACCTTTACCAGATCGTCGTCGCCCAGGGCCTGCGCAAGGTTATACACGCTCTCCCCACACCTATCCGGGATAGTCGGGTCAGCACCTGCCTCTAGCAGCAGCCTCAAGATCTTCTTCCGCTCCTCAGGCCAGCAGCGGTACGGCCTGATCTCATCGCGGAGCACAAGGAAGTGCAGCAGCGTGCGGCCGCTCCACTGCTTAAACACCCCTGAGCCAATTAGATTAGTGTCCGCGCCGCGGTCCAGCAGCAGCGCGACCATGGCCTCATGGCCAAACATGACGGCCCCAAAGAGCGGATGCCACCCGCCGCCGTCGGCCATGTCCACATCGGCGCCCTTCTCCAGCAGCAGGCGTACAACGCCCTCATGGCCCATCTGCGCGGCCAGGTGCAGCTCCGTCTTGTTATCGTACGTAGCCACCGTCCCGACCTCTGCCCCGCTGTGGAGCAGCAGCTCCACGATCTCCTTGTGGCCCAGATATGCAGCGAGGTGCAGCGGCGCGACATTGAACTCGCCGGGGGCAAAATGGCGCCTGTAGACCCTCCTGTTTGGGCCGCGCTCGTCGGCCTCCAGGCTGTACGCGTCGTGGTCCCGGTAGCCCCAGCGGTTGAGCGAGATGTGGATGCGCGCATTGACGTCGATGCCGGGGCGGGCCAGGAGCATGCGCACGAGGCGGTAGTGGCCCTGCAGCACGCCCCAGTGCAGCGCCGGGAAGGTGCCGTGGAAGGTTCCGTGTGTGAGGGCGGGGAGCAGCGCGCGCGGAGAAGCCCGTCCCTCCCAGAGCCGGGTCAGTTGGATGCCGGGGCCGATGGAGAGGATGCGGTCGACGGCCTCGTCGGCGCACCGCATGGGCGCGCTATAGATGACGCGGATGCCAAAGTCACCGATTCGGTCGCGGATGTGGCCGAGAACCATGAGCGGCGGGCCGGATTCGAGGATCAGGCGGATCAGGGGCCGGTTCCCGACGGCAGCCGCGTAGAAGAGTGCTGTCATGGCATGCTCCTTTTGGATGGCATAGCGCAGGAGGGATGGCGCGAGGAGATGGCAGAAGCGGCGGTTGGTGAATACTAGGCAGCAGAGGTCGCGCGCGGAGGTGAGGGACTCGACGATCAGCAGGAGCAGCTCGTTGGGGAGGGAGAGTAGTGACATGGCGGGGAGAGGGAGGGAGGGAGGGTGGTGCCGGGGAAGGATGCCGTCGAGAGGATCGTAGCCAGTCCGTTAATTAGACTTTAGTGTTAATATTTAATTAGTGGGTGCTCTAGGGCTGGCACATATGTCGAGAGTATGGAGTATGGAGATGCTGTTGGCTGAGCACTGTTCACCTGTTGGATGTTGTGAGGAGGCGCCAAGACTACGTGATCTTATCTCCCCCCCTCCCGGCAGCGATCACCCCATCTCGTGAGGTTTTGGGTGATATACCTATATCCCTGGACGCGGCAGGAGTGGACTGTGTCCCAAAACCGGGGCGCGAGTTATGTCTTGCATCACGGCGGAGTATGGCACATAGTCGTACAAATAGCGATGCTTGAGCTGCATCCCGGCCGTGATCCTGGACCCTAGAACCCCACAGTAATAGATAATAGGGTACATGGGCCTGCAATAATAAGAACAAGAGCTCCTATGTATGGCTGTGGACCCCCAGTTTCTCGTGTGGCGAAGATTGGAGCATCAAGCCCGGGATTCTGAACCCAAACAAACGTGTTTCAACGGCGAGTGATGTGTCATGATGGACCGCTACACACGCAGGCGTCGAATGCAGGTACCCGCGGAGAGCAGCTAGCCCAAATGGTAGAGGGGATAAGTAGTAACAATTGCTGAACGGTCCAAATAGTGACGGTCAAAGGGGATTTGAGGCTATGCACTTTACATAGGAGCCCATAACCGAATGATAATTCATGACCAAGCAGTAAAGTTCCTATTGGGCCCTACCGCGTCAAGGAAAATTGGTTTGCCCTCATAGATAAAGTAATGAACTCTGTTCGATATTCTATGCTCTCTTTTCGAGCCGTATTTCTGATCAACGGCCTATGAAGGCGTTCGAGATCACCCAGATATATAAGGTGCAATAGTCCATGCTAACATCAGATCCAGGAGAACCCACCGACCACCAGATAGGGATCAACGAGCTTATCTGCATGTGTGAAAGTACCAAGGCCTTCAAGTAAGAAGGCCAGGACTACCAATAGGCTGTCTCAGTAAATACCTGAACGCTTGAGCTTCGACCTGTGCCATACGTACACCTCCAGCCAATATTCCTTCACAGGAGTTAAAGTGCCCCCCGATAGCTCGAGATGCTGACATTATCGCAGCATGGTTGTTTGAATCCTGGTACTCATACGCCGATCTTTCAAAACGTCCTGTTTCTTCGAGTTATACTCAAGAGCTGAGGCAGAGGAGGAGGAGTCCACAGTCATAAATGTAGTTTATCCCTATACTTTTCAGAAGGTTGTTGCTGGTTCCGACTTAAACTTCACAGCTAGCAGGGTTGAGGGCCGGTGGAATCGGTGGGTGGGACACGGAATCTGGCAATGTAAGGCCTGAATAACTTCCCCTAGTACCTACCGGCAGCGCATACACACCTAACCCTGTGCCGCCAAGGCCAATACACACAATGAACCACAGTTATCGGCCATGCATGTACGCCTATTACACTTAATTAAGTGTTTTGACCTGAATCTTCAAAGTAGAGAGGATTTGATCCTTATCCTTGAGGGTTGAACTTGGAGCTCTTGTGTTTACCGTCTCTCTTTTTGGGGATTGAAGCCCATCGATTGTGTGCGTGGATTAAGTATTTTTGATTGCTAAGAGGGATATAGGATGTTTCTGAGAATATAACTTAAATATACCAGTAATATTTTCGGATAGTATAGAGTTATCATACGGATTTTAGGGCAGGGCTGAAGGTAGCTGTGTCATGAGATATCACTCGATGGTTTAATTCAGGGCCCGTTTGGCTGCCAGTCGAAATGGAGTTACAGGAGGCAGATTTGTATGGAAACGACATAACCCCGTTTCATTTTCTTCGAAACTCCGTGTTTCCAAAAAAAAGCTTGCGTTCGGTCAACCAATTTTAATTCTGTAACTCCGTTAGGACGTTGGAACAGAGTTTTTGAAAAGTAGGTAAGACCTACTTTTCGCTGTTGCAGTCATCACAACCCAAACAAAATCCACCTTGACAATTAAAATCCGAAGTGGTGCTTGGCAGGCCAAATAAACCTAAACTCCGTTTTGAAAAAGCTCCGTTTATCCTCCCTAACGGAGCAGTTACGAAACGGAGTTTCGATTCCTCTACAACAGCCAAACGGGCCCTTATTATTGGCTAGGATGTAGCTCGGGAATTTATGGTACATTAGCTTTTCCTCGCGATCGGAGTCTCGGATACCATGGAACTTTAATAAATTCTTTCTTAATACACTCCTCTGAAGTGCCCAATATATCGGGTCTCAGAGAAATTTGGGGCTCACTTAAGTGATAATTAATACATCAAAATATATCGCATGATTTTAACTGGATGGGATATCGGGTGCACGGATTGTAACGAAACTAAAAAGAAAATACAGGTATATAGATATATAAGAGAAGGGATAATTTGTTTTGGGTGTCAATAGATAGACTTGCTGTCTTCAATTAGATAAGGACTTCGAGCTCTGCGATGAGCCCTTAATCTCGGCTTTAATAAATAGCCTTCAACGCGCCACACGCAGAACAATCAGTAATAAAAAAAGCTCTGACGGGCTATAAATGAGAACTTACAGCTATAGAACCAACAAATCATGGTCCCCGCCATCTCCCAGCTGTCGGGACCCAGCTGGGATCTCACAACACTCCTGCTACCGCTCTGACTTTCGAGCCTCGGCGTTCCGGTCAAGAGATGGGATTCTTGTACGCGTAGAACCTTCAGGGGAAGTCCCGCGGCATGCAAAAAGAGCTTCTGAGGATTCTTCTATGTCCGTTCGTGGCTTTTTCAATATATCTTCTGAATGGCTCATCTGCGCCGACGTTTCGTTTAGTCTCGCTCGCTTGTTCCTATTTATGATTCTAGCGTCCGGTTGCTGTCTTGTTTTTTCATCTGGTACTGCCTCCTGATTCTCTGCCTGTATTGTACTATATGGCGATCTATATCCATGGTGTGCTACCTGTCCTTGAGACGCTTGCATATTACCCGTGGCCCAAACACCCGCTCTCCTCATAAAATCGCCCTGGCGAGTTGTGCTTACACCTGTGTCGTGGAATATAACTGCTCTAGGCGGATGAGGTACTTCGTTTTCAAGAATCAATCGTGCAATCTCGGTGTGGCCCGTAGAAGCTGCAATATCAGCCGCTGTTTGCCCAGATATCGTTCGAAGCTCGATGTTGATATCTCTCTCTCGGAGCAGGCGTGCAATCTCATAGTGCCCCCCTAGAGTCGCAATGTGAAGAGCTGTTTGCCCGAATATGTCCTGGAGAGAAATCTCTGGGCGTGCCTTGGTGTCAAGAAGTGATTTTACAATCTCGTAGTGCCCTCCAGATGCTGCGCCATGGAGCGCTGTTTGTTTGTAATCACCCGAAGTTTTCCAAATATCGACACCTTTCTTGATGAGTAGACTAGTAACCTCCTTACTGCCCAAAGATGCTGCTAAGTAGAATGCTTCTGATCCATGATCCTTGAAAAGCGAAAGATCGGCCCCCTCTTCGAGAAACAGCTGCAGGATGTCGAGATTGCCTCTAGATACTGCCTCGTCCACGGCTGTAAGCCCACTATAATCCTGAACTGAGATATCTGCCCCGTTTTCGAGAAGTGCCAAGATGACGCCACAATAGCTAAAATTGGATTGATACTTTTGAACACTTGAAGGATGGAAATATCCATGTTGGCCTCCTCGCGATGCTAGATAGAGTGCTGTTCGCCCATGATTGTCCTGAATTGAGATATTCTCAGCCGCCCCGGCTCTTATGAGAAGTTGCACAAATGATTTATGCCCTCGAAGGGCTGCTTTATGTAGTGGCGTTGATCCAGAATTACTTTTAACAGGAACACTAAAGTCTATCTCGTTGTCGATAAACAATTGGATAACTTCATCAAAGCCATAGGTTGCTGCTAGATGAAAGGCTGTGCAGCCGGACTGATCCTGGGCCCAGACATCCGCACTCTCACTCATCTGAAGAATAAGACTCAAGGTCTCCGGATTCTTTCGAAATCCCAGAACTGCTGAATGTATTGCTGTCTGGCCCTCATCATCAGGAATAGAAATATCTGCCCCGTTCTCCAGAAGTAGCGATACAACTTCGTTATGGCCTCGGGACACGGCCATGTGTAGTGCTGTTAGCCCTACTTCCCCGTCTTGGATAGAAATATCCGCCCCGTATTGGAGAAATAGCCGAACAACCTCGATATTGTCTTTTATCGCCGCAAGATGAAGTGGTGCCATCCCATTATCGTCCCAGACTGAACTCTCAACTCCGTTTTCAAGAAGGATTTGTATGATCTCTCTTGAGTCTTCGATAACCGCCTTATGGAGGTTGTAACTGTTTAGAGGAGAACGATCACATCCCATTTCCAGTAATTGCCGAGCAATAGTATAAAGGCCCATGTCAATCGCTGCCCCTAGCGGCATATTCGAAGGCCAGAGGTGGAACCCGCAGTCAGGCATAATACCATGGTTCACTTTCTCAAAAAGATTGAGAAAGGAAATGGCCGTTAAAGGGTGATCACAACACCTCAAGTGAGAAAATACATAATCACAGGCGTATCCTAGAAACGTATGCAATCCAGAACTATCTATCCTGAGGAAATTATGACTATTGAAATCATCGAATAAGAGATAACTAGCACATGCTGCTGCTATCTTAAAGTCCGTGTCCGCGGGAAGAATACTGTTCTTCAGGATATATTCCTGGATTGTATAATGGGCAAATCGGACTGCTCCGTTCTTGTCGATTTTAACCAACCCGGCACAGGCATCCAGCAATATCGACTGGTCGGGTAGATCCCTTGCGTCAAGTCCACTTGCATCCAATGTGATAGAAACCGCTTCCCGAATCTCTTCCACTGTCAATTTTCGTTTAGCTTTCACAAGCCACGAGAAAACCTTTAATGCCAGTTCTTTGCAGCGTTCCGGCTTCTTATAGATGATATTCATGATCCTGTCGTAAGTAAAATCCAAAGGCCTCGATTCCTCATATCCTAGAATATTGAGTCTCTCCAACTCTATGAAGATTTGATTTACTGTGGTTTGTTGACATATATGTTCAATATGAAAAATAACACGGAGAAATCTGCAATAACCAAGTTAGTATATAGAAATCCATGCATATAAAACCTAACTACATGTACTTACGTTCCTTTAGCACATTCAGCAAGCTTGCATATAATCTTGTTTTTGCATTTGCTTTGCTCAATGAGGCGCTTTGCTCGTGCGTTCTCACCTATCTTCTTCTCTATATAAATTCCAATATCTTCTTGGTGTGCTGAAATTTCTACCTTAGGCGCATGGTGAAGGTACCTTTGAATATCCTCCGGGTATGGCTGGCTTGTCAAAAAGATACTAATTTGTTGTTTCTCTTCTAAGAGGCGTTGAAGTGACCTAAGTAAATATCCTTGCCCACCATCTTGGTCACATTCATCCAAAGCATCAAAAACCAGAAAGACTCGACTAAATTTCCCACACGTTGCGAGAAAAACACTATACAATTCTTCGAAATTCGGTTTTCTTTCTTCTTCTCTTTGCAATTTGTTGTAGAGTTTCCTAGTTTCGTCAGGAAGTGATGTCGATGTCTGAGTGGAAAGTTGTTTGATTAGGCTGGCCATAACTTGGACAGGTCCCTGTCGATCTTTTTCGATGTAGTCAAAGTATATATAAGCCAACCCATAGTTTGCTGACGAGGCTTTGATCGTCTGCAAACGATCAATAACCAGCGAGCTAGGACGGTGCTGTTAGACTGGATATAGCCGATCTGAATCGTAACAAAGAGCTACCTCAAGTGTGTTTTTCCAGCACCAGCTATTTGGTCCATAGAATTAGTAATTTGATCTGACCTGCTCGGCAAATTTGAAGACCAAATAATCCAGTTTATTGGGTCGTTTTGTTCACACCAACACGGACGCAGTGATTATAAAGAGTCCCATAACCAGACATCTGTGAGCTTTCCGAGCACAGACTCCGAAACCACAAATGCTCATGTGGTGAAGAAACGGCTGCAATAAACCGGATTATTTGGTCTTGCAGACAGATTTAAGAATTTGCTATACATACGAATTCCATAACCCCAAAGCAATGAATAATCTGACCGTCCTTTAATCCAGTTGTCGAATTCGAGCGTCTCCATCAGCCATTTTCCAGTATCTCTCAGTCTTTCCCCACTGATCTCAAGGTGTTTGATATCAAAATTCCCAGGAAATAACCAATTAAGAATACTATTTTGACCCTTTTCTGAAGTTAATATATTAGCATCAAGAGTTGGTTTATCTTTGAACTTTCCTCCTTACCGATCTTGACTCGATCTTGTGTTTCTGTCCTGGTGCACTGACCCCTAGAATCTGTTTGCAGGCTGTGTGCGCTGAAATTTGTTTCCTGGGTACACGCTCTAATTTCCTCCGATAAAGACCTGGCTTAGGTGTCAAAATAGTTGGAAAACCAGATACCGATTATACAGGTGTAGGTTTGCTTACACGCGTGAAGACTCATCCGGTAAGCTGTTTATATTACTATCCCAAGCACACCTCTCATTACCTTTTGAAAGGGTACTATTGGGAGTCAGCACAGCTGCCTACTATAAAATGAGAGATCTAGAGGCAACTCACGATTGATCTGTCGTCAGAATTAATGTGAAAAGTCTATTATAAAGTACCAATTGTGATATCCACTTCATGGTTTCCCTCTTCTTTAATGGCCACACAAGACACGTCATCTTTCCCCCGATCCGTTTCTTGAGCTCCAGCTTGAGCTTTAGTTGTTTCAAATCAAGCGTGCATTCTGACATTGGACCATTATTACTGCCTAATACTGCATTTGGGGCCGTTGAATTTGCTGGGTTCTGCAGATGGTCTTGTAACATAAAAAGGACATTACTGAGCGAGAGAAGTTCGTTCAATAGCTGCCGAAGATCGTCCGGGGCGTTCCCTATGCCTGCGATATACTCATAACCCAGCGCCACCAGCTTCTCTGTAAGTTGTAGGATATCAGTAGTACTTTCTGCAACACCAAAAGCCTCTGCCATCGCGGCTGTATAGTAGCCGGGAAGTCCTTAAGGTGAAAAATAATTTAGACGGTAGGTAGCCGGGTTCCAGGGCTCGATAGGTGGGGATGGTCGGATATATATGCAGGATGTTCGATGTTAGAAGTATATAGCATGACCGGGCTGTGCTATATGTACATACATGTATACATACATGTTCTCAGCCTTGCTCCTGCCGTGCACGTACGTCTGCATCGATCAAATACTGATTGGCTGGTTAACAATTCGGACATACTACATGTATATTCCTTGGGATTTCTAACCCCATGCCCATTTTCTGCATACTTGTCCCACTCTGCAGAATAGTACATATCACATATGGGAATACCTCAACGATAACACCCACTGGTGGTTACCGGTTTGTATCCAATGTCAAAGACACACGGCTTCGAGGTTGTCTGAGACGCGGTAAAAGCAGGGGCATTTAAGCAATCCATTTGCCAGAAATTCTGCATGGATCCTCGTGCCTTTGCCACTCTTTCCCTGATCCAGTTTCTGGACCGATTTAACTCGCTCAAATTAGGTCTGCAAAAAAACACAAGCATAGTACTCAACTATCAAGAGGTACGAATGCAAAAAGAAGAAAAACAATTTTTACTGTTTACCGGTATATAAATTCTTTCCACTAGTCCACTAGCCATGCTTATTCACCTGTTCAATCACCCTTCCACTCATACTACTTTCTACCTCTACTTTCAAATATTCCATCTTCTGAAACTTCTACTGACCTGGCCCACCCAACAATGCAAATCTTCTAACAATGCTAGGTCCTATCTCATCATACTCGGCTTTGGTATGGCAGTAGCTTCTGAACTCTGGGGTCTGTCCCAATAGAGATCCACCAAACCATGGACCGTGGCGCTGTCTCTTGTGTGTGATAACCTGGACCTCAAGACCTCCAGATTTCACTCCACCAGACTTTTCCTCCGACTTCTTGATACGTGCATCAACCAGGTGGCGGATATCACGTTGGAGACGGCGGCCGAAATCTTTGTATAGAGTAGAACCGCCGGAAAGAACGATATTCTAAAGCAGTTAAGTGGCGTGAGCTTTTTATATTTATATGGGAATTCTCCGTATTTAACTGTACCTTATATAGCCCCCTTCTCACATCAATTGGACTCGACTGAATAACAGTATCCACAACGTTCGGTAATGGTGTCAAAAAATCACTCGAATGAATTTCCGGATTGAAGAAGATCTCTGGCGCCAAGAATCGTTCATAACCCACATCTACTGTGACGCTACGGCCACCGGCTTGTTCGACAACATACTTCTGGAACCGTTCTGGCTCTTTATCAAACCGTGTGAATTCCTTCACAATGTCTGGAGAGACATAACAAAACTCTTCCTTAATGCGCTCGGCTGTCTTCAGAGATGAATCCGCTTCACCACGATCACGTAGGAGAGATTGTACGAAGAATGTGATGTCGCGACCGGCAATCGGAATCGACTTGATGGATGAACCAATGACATAGCCCTCGGCCTATATGAGACGTCAATGGGCGAAGTGAAATTCCAATTGATCACATGGAGACGTACCACTGGGATAACATGAGTGACACCATCACCAGAATCAATCACGGTTCCCGTCAAACTTCGGTCTTGAACCTTGCTACTGGTCCAACTCGCTGCCAGTGCCAACACAGCCTGCACGGCAATATATAAACCGGCACAATTGAAGGTCTCGAACATGATTTCGGCTGTATTTTCACGTGATTCTGGGGGGTTTAGGGGCTGTGGTACAAGGGCTTAGCATCTTCGTACGTTGTAGAATTATGGTAGATGGGAATTACCGGTTCGGTGAGGAGGAAATAGTGGTCCTCAGGTTCGACTCGAAGGTACTTAAAGATGGAATTCTGCCAGAAGCGCTCCATATGATCCTACAAAGCTAATTAGCAAATACAACGCTCCCCCCCCCCCCCCCAAAACTACCATTGAACTTCGAAGCAACTGTAAAGCACATACCCAGTTATCAACCTGGCCGTGTCTAATGGGATAGTGAACTCCGTATCCTAATAGCACATCATGTCAGCATTATAGTCCACGGAATTGCCCACCAAGCTAACTCCTTTGTCTGTCCTTCCTCCTTAATCGACCAACAAAATAGCAGATTCGTACCCGGTCCACTGCCTTGTGCAAGTGCTTCATCACCAATAAAGTAATCTAAATCCTCGGTACCCCTCTTCGCACTTAAATGCCCACTCGGCCCGGCTCCTCCGGTAAGGTACGATGGCTTCTGAGCCACTGCCGGTCGTCCCGAACCGGAACCACCCCCTCCACCCGTGGGACCTTTTATAGCGATGGCAGTGGGAAAGACGAAGGATGGGGAATCGTTTCCGGCAAACCCTATTTATAAGCTATTAGCACACTGGCGGAAAGCATTAGACAACTGACATGCACACACCTAGCTTCGAGTAACCCGTACCGCTGTGGACAGTTAGCTCAAGTAAACGATCCATTAAACAAAGGTTGCTCACTTGTCCATGACAACGGCGGGGGTTTGATTAGCCATTTTGATGAAGCTGGAGAAAAACAAGATCCAGAGGAAGAAGAGAAGGGTGATAGGTTAGAATGCTGATGCTGTTGTGGTTGAGAGGTTGGTGATGTTCCTAGCACCAAGCGGGGGAAGAGTTGCGTAGTAGGTGTGGCTTGAGCACCTGTAGGGTGAGGGTTCAGCAGAGCCTCCGTCAGCTACATGTACCTACATGTATACTCACGTAGCCTCAGCGATAAACCTTAACAAGCAACTACATGTACTACTATAGATGATAAGTTGGTGCTTTCGTATACCGCCTGTTTCTTGGTGACCCAAGCTCTAGTAACAATAACACCTTGATGACATTTGCCCCGCGTTGATACTCTACAATTATCCAAAGTCATGGATTTGATATCAAGTAACTACCGGCTTCTCAAAAATAAACCTGAATGAAGAGAAACAAAACCCGGCCATACGTGCAAGGTGATGAAATAAACTTAAACGCTAATCATCACGTCTCCTTCTTCAAAATCCAAACCATCTCCTCAATCCTCGCACCTACCCAGTAACCCTTAAATACGTTTTCTCTCAACCCATACCCATCCTCCAATGCCCTCTTCCACCACACAGTTGAAGGCTCCGATTCTTTTACCAGCCCTAAATCCTCCGCTTCCTTCTCCCCTATCCCTATAGCACCGACATGAACAATTTCACCGGGTTTATAAACTTTAACACCCTTCCAACCAACAACACTATCCACAATCCTCCATTTTCCAATAACACGCGAAACATCACTAGTGACGACCCAATCGATATCTTCCCAAAACTTCGCCGAAAGTAAATCATCTTCGTTCTCTGTCTTATCAAATACAACCCCTTTGATCGCTGTGTTCCATTTCTCGTTTTCTGCAGCTGAAAGTGGGATCAACGGACGTTCCTGTAGAAACCGAGTAGCACCTGTCATACAAACAAATGTGTCTAGGTGAACGGTCTCTACCCCATGTACTCCCTCTTCAGCAAAAGCATGGTGTAGCTTCATCACTGCATCCCCACCGGGATAGTTCCACGAGCTAACGAGCATCATACCCGTCCCCCCCAATGCCGCCAGCACGATCGAACCGCAAGTTCCCATCGCCAGAAGTGCATATATGGCGTTCTTGGTCCTCCTGTCCCATATCCATGCATTTCCAAGTGCGCCACAAAGCGTTAACGCAGGAATGATGTATACAACAAATCGCCATTCTTTGTGTGGCAGATATGAATATACCGCTACATAACCCAACGCCGGGATTAGGAGCTCTTTTGCAGCCGTTGGAGACCCGCAAAGACAGAATGGTAACGAGACGAGTAATACCGACGGGTTTAGTAATAGCTTTGGTAATGAAGAGCTGAAATAGTAGTGCCACACAGAGACACCCCATTCTGAAGACTTATTTTCAATGGCATTGTACAAGAATCCCGATAATTCCGGCCAGATCAAGCCTGTTTTTTCGGTGAGGAACGGGGTCGTGAAATGTCTTACTTCTGGATTATGGGATTGCCAGAAATATGAATCAACTGTAAGTGTTATTGCAAGACCCACTAAACCCCCAGCAATTCCGGCAGGAATAACATCTCGAAACAAAGAGACACGACGTGTGAGGAGTAGTCGCAAGGCTACGAAAAAGAGTAATATTGCGAGCTCGGAGCGGAATATTACGGCAGTAAAGGTGAGAATATAGATTCCGAGCTTATAAGTCCCCCTACGTTGCTTTGGAGTGGTTACAGGGCGTGGAAGGAGGAAAGATAGCGCCGCGGTAGAAAGTATCAAAGCAAAGGTATTTGGTAATGGCCGTGAAGCATAATACGGTAGATGGAATTGCGATATCTGAAGGAGAGTGTAGAAGATTGCTGTTGTACGGCCGTATGCACGATGTATGGCGCGAGTATATAGGATCAGCGAGAGTGCAGTGAGTAGCCCAAGAACACCTCGCACTAAATGCATTTCACCTATCAGTACTTTTTCGAGTTCAAAACCTGAATTTTAAATACGCACCGATAACCTGATCGTTTACGAAATCTCCTAATATATCAATTATTGGCTTACTGAGTCCAGCCAACACAACCGGGCCAACGAAGGTCCTTGGGACTGCTCCAGGAAATGCAAAATGATCATAATCCTGTACGAGAGACGCTGTAACATTGGTCGTCGATATACCATACCGCAATATATCATGGGTCGCTTGCAAATTGAATGATTCTTCGACTTTCGTGTATGGTGCTACCAACAGGTGTACAATTATCACGGTTACGTGAAGTAATCCAAGGAATATATCTAGACTATGGATTAAAATCTGACACGCATACAGCTCACCGCGGACTTAACAAACCTAGTATCGCCATACTTCAAGCTGGTAAGACAATATAACAGGTGTTTGAGCTCGTTCCAACCTGTATGGCTTCCCCTGAGCTTCTTCCTCGGAGACCTCCAATCAATAAGACTGGATTTTCCTTCTTTTCGGCCCTTGCAACATGCAGAGAAGAAGCTGCGCTCACGTTGTAGTTATATCAGTAGAGTGCAATTTTGTGTAGGTTGGTGTGATATTGGGACCGATGCTTGTAAGTATTTAACGGCCATACAAAATTGATCCTTATCGTGCTCTTTGATATTATCGAGATGGTTGAACGTTGGGGTGCCTTGGAGCCGCACTAGCACTCATGCGTCGTCATTCAACGTCGTGCGTGTCTTAGGATCTAATCTTATCGTTCAATGAATCAACTGATAAGGACACTCCCAAAGCTGAGTGATCCTTCATGACTGGAGCTACTAGTGAGCCGCTTAATTACATGTAGGCGCTATGTTTGACTCTGATTTTGGGCAGAGATTTTACCCTATCCCGAATAAAACACACCCACATATGTCATACTTGTAGACATATATGTACCTATCTTTATAAAGTTAAAATGTACAGTGCCTAGCTATATATAGAGTACATAAATAACCATCGCGAAGCAAATTAAAAACACCACAAAAAGTTAAAACGTACAGTTGCGTGCATCAAGTTCTCGCCATCCACGATCATTCACGAGCGCAACAACAACCACGACCCCCTTGTTACTCAACTACAAGTGAAGATATTTAATAGAGAATATATAGTAGACTTAAATAGAATATAAAGAAAACAATTTTGTGACTACCATTTAGTGTATCCCCCATTGGCTTTGAGACAGGCCTCAACTCTTGATGGCAAGGAGTCTACTAATTTATCCAGCTTTGATTGAGACAATGCTTCCCACTCCTCTTGTGCAGCGATAAAAAGTTCATGTGCACTATGGGGTCTTCTCTCTCTAGAACTCCATCGCTTTTTGAGTGCACTTTTTAACGTTCTCCATGCATTTTCAATTGGGTTGAGATCTAGTGATTCAGCAGGCCAATCATCCCTCTTAATCCCATATGCTGCCCTATACTCTTTTGATAGCTTATTCTGATGAACCTTTAGATTATCTTCAATAAGATAAAAGCCTTCCGGGTCTTCTAACGACTGCCAATAAGGAGCCAAATTGCTCTCAATAATTTCCTCACAGAACTGTTTCGTATTCATGCCTAATTTGTCTGTATGCGTAGTTCGTTCTGAGGAATTGCGTTTGCACACCAGTACTAGATTGCATCTAGAGCCGTACTGGAATGCATTCCAGACTTGAATCGTAGTGTGACTGCTCTTAAACGTTGGTTTTATGTGTTTTTCGTTGAGATGCTCCCCAGGATGATATCGAACCTTTTGACCAGCTAGGTTAAAATCATATTCAATCTTACACTCATCTATCCACACCCTTTTTCTCCATTCGCCTACAAGCCAATGCTGCCTCCTACTACACCACTGCATTCTCTGTATGGGGTGACCTGGTCTCATCCATGGCTTGGGTCGTTTGATATGGAGTATTAACTTTTCCGCTTTTAGGAACTTCCTGATCGTGTTAAAACAGCAATTGAGTCCCGCTAACTCTTTTATTTTAACTAGAGAAGAGCTCGGCTCATTCTCTATAACCTTTATTGTTCTCTTTTTCTCCCATGTACTGAGGGTAGGTGGTCGCCCAGTGCGGGGAAGTTCATCGGTGTGACCTCGCTTGGCTTGATTGACGATGGTATCAAGAATAGTTCTCACTGGATAGCCAGTATCTCTATTGATTTGGGCAGTAGTTCGGCCTGTATTGTGGAGTGCAATAACAGCCTGCCTCTTGTCATATCTCGAAGCTTTTGAAGAAATCATTATGGGATCGTGGCGGGGGGGGGATTGCGTGTGGGCATGCATCGATGGTTGCTATCACTCGGCGTTGCCCAAACGGCGAGAACTTGATGCACGCGACTGTACATCTCATTACATACATGTAGTCGCCTTTTTTTTCAAGTGGCTGTACAAGAAATTGATATAAATCTTATAAAATCAGTGCAATAAGATTTAACAGTCAGGGAAAACATCCTCAGGTCTTGAATTTCAAATTAATCACTGTAACAATATTGAGCATTTTCTTTTTCTCTTTTTAGAAAATGTGCTAAGACCTTGAATTTACAATAGGATTCTGCATATTTGGTGAATAGACACATGTCTTAGCTTAAAATGTGCGCCCTAAAGTAGTATATCTTTCTATACCGAAGATTTCGTGGTTTTAATTGTGGAAAGACCACACGCATTTAATTCCTTTTATAAAAATGTCAGTACCTCGAGGCCTGCCCGGTTTACTTGCGCACGGAGAGAGTTCGATCCGATTGGATGCACACATGTAAGTTATATACATACATGTAAATATTCTACGTGAATTTTGATACCTTCATCATACTGGATCCGCATCCGGAGCTGGACTACTTAGCAATGCTTGATTTATGATCGATTAACGTCTTGTGCGCGTAGAAACATCCTGAGGTATTAAGTATTCAAACTCGACTTAAGTGTTAAAGTTTTCGATTCGAGAGTAGAGTTAGGGATAATATTATCATCATTGCTAACTTTTCGTTTTAGCTGATTGCAAGTTTTGAGGAGTTAAATCGATTAATTCATTCCACAAGCCCAGAAGAATAATGATTAGGCAATGTCTGGAGTTTTTAGGCCTACTTGACCCTTAAATAAATCCAGGGCATAGGCATACATATAGAATTGTACGCGATGGACCCTGATTCTTTCAGACTGGTGTCAACTTCAGATTCCACATAAACAGATTCAAAGTTTTGTACAGATCCATTTTGAAGCGTCTAATATTGTACACCGATCTGTGTCTAAAATTACTCTCCATTAAACTCGTAACTCGCCACTACCATTTAAAATGAACCCCTGAACTGGTCCAAAACCTGCCTCACCAAAGGTCTTGGTGCTGTGGGCACAGCTGTCTGGGTTGCTCCTGTCGTTACTCCGTCTTGGTCCCTCAACCTTCTCCTTAAAGTTTCAAATTCACCAGCTTGGCTATCTGTAAACAGCCAACTCGGCAATCTCCACTTACTCTTCGGCAAAAGGTCCATTCTCCATGCATAACCAACAACCCATCCTACAGCAGCAGAAAGCATGGATCCGGGAGGCTGGCAGAGTGCCAGTTGAGCAGACAGGAAGTAAACATAAAATTTGTCAGACAATGTGATGCCGGGAGCATCGGCATCGCCGTCGGCAGAGGAGCTCGTAGTGAGTAATTTAAATTTGTAGATCCCAGGAATGCTGGCGTGGTATTGAGCGAGCGCAGCGAAGATGATTGGTGTTGGCCCTGGAGGGAGATAGTTCATATGCCATGCTGTGAAGGGCCGGAAGAGGAGTGCAAGGAGAATAGGTGCTATGACCGAAGTTGCAATGAAGGAGTAGACAAGAAAGGAGGAGAATTTGCGCGTGCCGAAAAGGCGCTCGATGGTACGGAGGTGATAGATTACTAGGGAGGCGAACAAGAGCTCACCGGCGTTGGCATAGCATGTCTGCAGATAACTGTCAGGTCCGACTCAGGTGGCCATGGGATGGTACTCAAAAGCAGGAACATACCTGCCATATCAATACACGCCATAACTGCCTATAGACCCAGAGGTGTGGTACAATTTGGATATGGAAGTAATGCTTGACGTCAACGATTGAGGCCAAAAGAGAAGTTGCGACCAGAGTAAAGAGGAACGCTTTTGAAACAGGTGCCGAACGAAAGCCGGATTGCTGCATGTTTATTTTTTGTACTGTTTGAATCTGAAGGAGAAACTCCTAAGATAAGCCCGCGAGGGGTCCAGAAATTCAATCGTGTCGTTAAAAGGATAATTCCGGAGATGCTCTTAGCTCTAGCCTTCAGGTGTGCCTGGAACTTGGTAGGGTAAAGGCCACGTTTGGGTTAGGGGTGATTGTGTAAATACGTGATGACAAATATTAGAGAAAGATGACCCAGCGAGATTCGCAACTCTTAAATTCTCAATCTAAAGCACAATAAATTGGATTACTCTATATCACTGCTTTGAGTTCTAGATTTCATTCTGGGCCCTTCCTGCATACTCAGATATACATGATCTAGCACTGTACCGACAATTCTATGGGTCATGTGACCTGCCTGCATTTTGGGCTAGCCGTGGCTGGTAGAGATGCCCCTCGATGCTCTCAGCCACATGCACCCCGCCAAAATAGTTTAACCGTTGATGCTTAATCCAAAACAGTCATACAATAAACAGATCCTCCTCCACGTTTCACTGGATACGTCCCCTCTTTTCAACAATACTCCAAATACCCAGTGGCTCGCTTTTAAAAGATGGCTACAAATGATCCTCAGCCCCCAACTCTGGAGCCTAATGCTCTCCCCACGACATTCAAAGAAGTTCCTGTCTCTACCGAACTTCCCGCTAGCCAGGAACAGAAGATCGACCCCTTCGACGTTAAGGGCGCTGTAGTTAATGGCAAGGTCCTGGCGATTGATTATGAAAAGCTTATTAAAGATTTTGGTACCCGTCGTATCTCACCCGAGCTTTTGGAACGATTTGAGAAGCTCACCGGCCACAAACCTCATATATTTCTGAGGAGAGGAATGTTCTTCTCACATAGAGATTTGGAGAAAATTCTCGACAGATTTGAGCAAGGGAAACCATTCTTCCTGTACACTGGGAGAGGGCCTAGTAGTGAGAGCATGCATTTGGGTCATATGATTCCATTCATGTTTACGAAGTAATTGCACACTAGGAATGTTTGATTTTTGCTGCGCTGACCTGGGCAATTATTAGATGGCTACAAGACGTCTTTGACGTCCCTCTGGTCATCATGATGACAGACGATGAGAAATTCTTGTTCAAACAGAACCTCACTATTGCAGATGTCAAGGGCTTCTCTCGAAATAACGCCAGGGATATCATTGCTGTTGGATTTAACGTAAAGAAGACCTTTATCTTTTCCGACTTGGATTTCATGGGAGGAGCCTTCTATGAAAACGTCGTCAAGGTCTCTCGGTGTATCACAGCAAACCAAAGTAAAGCCACTTTCGGTTTCACCGATATGTAACTCTCTCGTCCTTGCGCTAATTAGGAAGTATATGTTAATTAAGATGACTAGTGACAACATTGGAAAGCTTCACTTCACAGCTATTCAAGCCTCTACAGCTTTCGCCACAACATTCCCTCACATTTTTGGGGAAGATTTCAATAAAGTCAAAGACATCCCCTCCTTGATTCCATGCGCCATCGACCAAGACCCATACTTCCGCCTCACTCGAGATGTAGCAAGTAGACTTAAATACCAAAAGCCTTCTTTGATCCATGCTCAGTTCTTTCCCGCCCTCGGAGGCCCTGGAAGCAAGATGAGCGCATCAATCGATACTAGTGCCATATTCATGAATGATACCATGAACGCTATGTATTCCTCCCCTCCCCTGATCCCAACCGAGTGCTAACCTGTGATCTACTCTACACAGCAAAAAGAAGATTAATAAGTACGCTTTCTCCGGAGGACAAACCACTACCGAAGAACAACGCAAGTTTGGTGGTAATCCCGACGTTGATGTGTCATTCCAATACCTTACATTCTTCCTTGAAGACGATGAGGAGCTCGAATCCATCCGACAAAGTTATCTTAAAGGGGAATTACTCACGGGCGAGCTAAAGGCAAGATGTATTAAAGAGCTACAGGGATTTGTTACCGCATTCCAAGAAAGGAAGAAGGCTATCACAGACGAGGCCGTGAAGAGTTATATGACCCCGAAACCGCTGGAATGGAGTCAGGGAAAGAAGCTGGATACTGTTGTGGCTTGATGACAATATTTACTTGTAAATATGATAAAAATGGCATCCCCGAATTATATGATGAGCCCTGGTGTTGCAACTGATACCAGCCCCGTAAGCCCCAAAAGTATTAATTGGTATCTGGATCATAGAGTATCACTCGATGATTCCGATCTCGCAAGCGTCACCTGTAAAACCCATGACCCAGTAGAAAAAGATATCAGGTCGTGTGTTTATACTACATTATATTAGATAGTTATCTAGAAACGGAGCGATTTCTCCAGAATTGGCTGGAATATCCTAGGCGCTGTTACTACATTGGGTGAAATCTATATTTGTCGAAATGATTCAGGGTAATGTTAATGCTCCATGCTGTAGCCAAAATCAATACTATGTACATATGGGTGTCGATCTAATAAAACTGTCCGCGCGGTCGGGATCTTATTCCGATAGAGCCCGAATCTTCTTGAAGTTCAGAAAACCTTGGTGAGGGCCCAGGATTAATTTTCCGGCCATTTGTACCACCAATTGCTGGAGGCTGCAGATTGCGGTAGTGAGCTGTTGCATTGCCACACGACTCCTGTATTATCACAATCGCTTCCTAAAGTTCTTATTAAGGCTAGAATCCTAAGTAAAGATACTTGTATCGACTCGAATATGAATTACAGGTGCTCCCGGCTTCAAAGATGATTAACCATATCGTATTGACGACGAAGACCGACCTAGTAATATTTAAATCTATACAGATATTTTAACAAAATAAAATTTCAGGAATCCATCAAGCGGATATACTAATTCTTTGGATGCTTGATAAAGGGATACAATAACTGCAACAATGGACTCCATATTTATAGCCCGGAATAATGAGATATGCCCAGTATCTGTATCCGTACGTTGTTGTGAATCTTCCTTTTGGATTACTATCCGTTGGGCGTATTCCCAGAATATACACATAGAGTACGAAGGGATACTCAAGGAGAGATCTAGACATTAGGTTTATCACTACTCCACTTGAAAAAGTTACATCTCCATTCTCCTGCCTGGCCACTAGTGAGCTTGCTCCCACCAGGCCCAAGTGGCCTAATCAACACATTCGTTATTATAAGAAATTATAAATTGTAAAGAGGAAACACTTACCTTGAACACATCCAAAACGCTCTACCGACGTTTGGGCCAGGTTTCTTGGTTATTAACTTGATACAAGGCTCGTTATGTGCCTCACATCTCGGCACAGCAGGCCTTGTGAATAATTGTGACCATTTGTCCTTAGATTCGATGGGATCAATCAAAGGAAATGCGCCTTCCTCCTCTTGAAATGACATCATGAGTCCACTCTCTGTCAATGCCTCATCTATGTATGAATTTTGGATCGAATCTACATCCTGCAACTCAGCGTCGACGTTGGTACTTGAAATCGAAGCGGATGGGCCTTTAGGACTTTGTCGACTTGACGAAGGTTCAGATGATGTAGTTGAACTCTCCTCTGTAGATGTTTGCTTTTTAAAGAAACTCGTCAAGCTCTGCTGGCCATGGGATTTCTTAGGGGTCGCGTTAACGGGTTTCTTCCCGGGTGGGCCCGACGGGACGATTTTTTGCCGTTTCGTTGGCGGTCCGACTAATGACAGGCTTTTCTGAGAACTAGAAAGCTCTCTCGTAGTACCTAAAGACGCTGAAACCGCTGGGTCACATTGTGTGGATCCGCTAATAGCCGTAAAGGATGTTCCGGGCGTGTTTGAGATTGGATGAGTATTAAGAGCATTTTTCGCTTGAAGACTGGAGCTTGGTTGGGCCGCAACTTTTGAAAACATGTCCCGTATATTCTGCCTCCTAGTATACTCACTAGATGCTTGTGCGGATAGCTTTAACCTCGGGGCGGTTTTGTGAGGCTGGCGCTTCCCATCAACAAAAAGGCCAGGGGGGTTTACAATATCAAGAAGATATTGCTCACGCTCCCCGACGAATATTTTCTCACTGATTACTCCATAGACTGGGCAGTGATCGGAACCCTTAGCAGAGTTAGCTTTATCAAGAGATTTGAAACGAGTAAGTCACTACCATCAAACCCTCTTGTATGTTTGCTTCTTTAAACCATGTTCTCATGTCTGAAGAGCATAGTATATAGTCTATGCGCTTCCCTATAAATGTGGTATTTCTTCAGCAGTTGTACGCTGTGTTACTCAGATGTGTTAATACCGTAGTTTCCTGGCCTATAAGAAACATAGAGGCGTTAGATTTTGATAACAATACTTTCCAGAGCTCACTTCAATTCAAGGTGGATATGATAATAATACTAGAAATGTCTGTGTTTTGGAGGCTAGGTGTTCAATCTCCTGTAATGCCAATTTCCCGAAGCTTTAAAACTGACCTTGCGTTTTCTCTAACAGACCAACCTATGAGTTGGTTAGCAATGATATCCGCCAATAAATGTTATTAGAAACCTCTCGGATTTGATATCATATTAGTCGGAAACAGCGCTCGAAGAAACTTTCGACCTTAAAAATCTCTGTGATCCGAGAAGCACCAGGTTTGAGGGGCATAGAGCAAAATATGACTTACACGTGTACATCCCACGCCTTTGTGGGAAGAATTCTCTACAAAGGTCGACCATGACACCATTTGTATGCGGCTCCAACAAATTGTGAAGAATTTGGCGTGTTGGCGTGTCTTTGTAATTATCTAAATTATATTCCATCATAATTTCTTTTGCGGCGGCATTATCAATCTCATCTCTCGCAATGTTCATATCTCCAACGACTATTACCCTCCGCTTTTCAACCTCTATCAAGTTTCGAACCCGTTCATCCACTGCGGCAGCGAACGCAATACGGATATCATCCCTAGCAGGGTCCGTATCCGCTGGACAATATAAACCGATTAGGACGAATACCCCAAAGTCTAAGATGAGACATCGGCCTTCACTATCAAGTAAGGCAGCTTCCTCGGGCGAAAGCTTGGGATAACCACCAATGCTCTCGGACGATGGCAAGGATAAGTATGTCATTCCATCGCGACCAGGGGGTGCGAGAATTCCAGTTATGCCTTCCTCGGCCTTCACGGGATTGCATTTTGATTGACGGGTATAGATTGCTACACCGCTATAGCCTGCATAGCTCCGTGTCGGTCTTAAACAACGGTCCTCGTTGAAGAAACACATCGACACCAGATCATACCTTTCTTATGCTTGGGAAACGTACAGAAGCAATCCCAGCCCGGAACTAGGACCATGTCATCCTTGAGATCTTTCTTTTGTATTCTAAGCTCCTGGATGCAAACGACATCGGCTTCTAAGGTGTCGAACATTGCCTAATTCATGGAAAGTCACACACTTAATAAGAATAAGAAACATGCTGTTTGATATTGAAGTAAACATACTTGGAAGGTTTTGCCAAACCACGGGTGGTGTGAAAATGGATTTCTGGGAATTGAAATCAGATTTGCCTCAGAATCATTAGTCAATTGTCCTCACCGAATACCGTTGACTGTGGCAAGACCATTGAGTAGTCAGTAAACTAGATTCCCTTGGGGTTTAAAAGAGTTACCTACCATTCCATGTTGTTATTCGTAAACTCATCACTCTATTTTCTTGGTTTTGGTTTTCAAAGAACAGTTATGTACTACTTGGTTGCAGTGTTTCTTAGGCTTGGGGAGGCGGAAGTCATGGGGAGACGCGACATCTTTATGATATCACGCGTTCTAAGCTACATACGTGTTTTCACAACACTAGAACTACATATTATTCGAAGTGATCTCAAATTTTCTAGCTAAAGAATTTTCAAATATTTCATCGAGAACCTTTCTTACTCCTAGAATACTCTACAGTGCCGTATTCAATATGTTGAGTTCTTTTCCACTACCCCGGAGCGCCGTTATGCCGTCATCGGTTAGACCATGACACATTTATTATATAATCTAGTCCTAATCGCAATCTTGAAAACCTCACCCCATCGCCCCAGGCCATCCTCGGTCAGATTTTCCCCTCAACGTTTCTGTTCCGAACTCAAACAATCATAATGCTCTCCACTCAGACCCTCGCCCGCGCAACCGCCCGCGTTATCGTAAGGCCACAGCAATCGCGTATTGCTTTCCAGGTCAGAAGATTCGCTTCCGAGACTTCCAAGGCAACTGAAAGTACCTTTGTCAAGGAAAGAGAAGCTGTCAAGCACCATGCCGCTGAATCTAGTGGTTCGTTTCCTCAATATGGTGCTAATCGATGAAGTCTACTGACATATGTCCAGAACTCTGGCGCAAGATCTCCCTCTAGTTTGTCTTACCTCAACCCCATTTCACGAAGCGACATATAGCAGAGATCGAATGATTTTGACTCAATCATCCTTGATACAAATACAGTGTTGTTCCACCATGCCTAGTCCTCAGTGCCATCAATGCCTACAATCTTTGGAACGAACATTGGGAGCATGAGAAACACATGCCTCCCCTTGAGGAGCGTGTTGAATACCCTTACCAGAACCTCAGGACCAAGAACTACTTTTGGGGTGATGGTGATAAGGTTAGTTCTCTGTCTCTAATTTCATATTCTGTTGAAAAGTGCTAATGATTTCAGACAATCTTGTAAGAACTCGCCGATGATCGATTACTATATTCAAAGCTGTTGCTGACTTCTGGAATTAGCTGGAACGACTCAGTCAACTACCACAAGCGGGACGATTAGTTCACTCGTGCGAGTAGGGTAACTCACCTACAATTCAGTCACAGCGCGGTGGCAGTCAAAAGCGGCCATCGATGTAAATCTTTTAGAATAGCAATACCATTGGGTCATAAGATTTGGGGTGTCTCTTAGTAAATACATTATTTTTAAACATCTTTCTATGAATTAGAGCCTCCGCTTTTGATAGGCATGCTCATGCGCTTCTCGATAAGAATCTCGTTAAAACGTGGTCGATCCTTATCAGAATCCTTAAAATAGGGTGCCTAACTTGCCATATCTTGGCAGATTGTTTTTGAGACAAATGCCTGCAGTTAAGTTTTGTGGGCCGACAGTTAGCGTTTACTCTGAGATTCAACCACTAAGCTGTAATCTAGAGAGATATCAAATATCAGATGAGGCATCCTGTGAACCGCAATTACATCTTGTTATGACGAATTCCCTCTACATACATATTCGACTCAACAGCAATCATGTCGTAGAAGCTCATGAAGCAGGAGCCCAGAGCCAAAAGCTTACATGAACGCTTTAATTACATGTATTTCTACTTTAAGCTTAAGTTGTCCTGACTATTAACTTTCACACTCTGCTGTGTGTAGATACTTGAAATTATATTCCATATAAATTTTGTTTTCATTAGAGCGTTTTGGCAACCGCCCTTTCCCAAATTTTCAGGTCAATATATAAATGGAGAAATAAAGAACCTACTATATGACAGCTCTAATAGAAACTTAATTAAAGCTCACATAATGCGGTTAATTCATTGTTTTAACACTCATATGCACACTGTAAATACATGTAGTGCACAGTGAAACCTTCGAAAACATAGACCCCCTCCTTCCTTGATTTGGAGACGATGGATAACCTCATCAGGCAATCATTTAGAGTTTCTGTCATGTCATCGCATGAAAACAACAAATGTGTATGTATGTATACTATTTTGTTTTCATGCATGCAGGGAACAGCAATACAAACTGATAATATTCAATGGAAATGCCGGTACCTACACACGCAAATCACGCCAACTAATACTATGTATCGTTTCCATGGCTTTTTTTGGACGCTGTTTGGGTGGTGACACAGTTGACGGTGGCGGGCAAAACGTACCAAGAAGGGTTTAGGGTGCATAGCTTTCCCAGCCTGGTCAAACCCGGATCTTCGTCACCCTCCTTCACCCGTCCTCTCCCCCAGCTGTGTGCGTCTCTTTGCTCGCGTACTCCCATTTCAACTCCTTTCCCATCTGCTCATCCGCTCCTTGTCCCCCTCCTCCTCCTCCTTAAGGTTCCTCTTCATCCACCTCCTTCCTTGATTTGTAACTTCTATTCGTTATCTTCCATCAATCGATCCAGGAAGACGCGACTCACTCCAGCTTCACCAGCCTTCCTACTCAAGACTCGCATCATCGAGTACTATCGGGGTCTGATTGTGGACAAATTATTTCTCTTCTGTTTTTGAACTGAGACGACATTCTGTTTCTTTATTCTCTTGTTGTCGCTGGTGCAGCACACTGACAAGTCTTGTATCCTCGCCTGTGAGGGAAAACAATCATTTTTGCTGGGGATATAAAGATCATTTCTTGGTGTAACAAGCAAGCGAGTGAGCAAAAGACTATCCTGTGCTACGAGAGAGAGATATAGACAGAAGCAAGCTAGTATTCACACTTTCGGCAGTGTACGTATCACCACCCTTTTTGTTCTGTATAGGCTTGGGTTGCGGTGAACCCAGCCTGGGCGTGGATTTTGACAGCGAGATTTTGCTTTTATTTTCTGACGTTTGGCCTTCCTTTTACTCCCCTGTTCTTTGCTCGCTCTGCTTTGCTAGACTTTGTCTTCATTCTTACGCGTTGTTTTGCTTTCTATGCTGAAATCTGCCTATTTCACCTTGCAATGTCTTCTTGGAAGCTGATTTACGAGATGAATTGTACAGACCCTCCTGTAACTTGTTCCTTGACAGAGCAAGAAAAAGAGAAATTTGGAAGCAGAGCAAATCACCTAAAGAAACAAAACAGTCTATACTTCGCACATATTTCGTGAATTCACCCGTATCAAAATGGCCGACGATTTCGACATCGATATTTACGGGGACCTCAATCCCGATGAACCCACTACAGCGTTCAAGAAGGAGGATGACGAGTTACTACTCGATGATCCTGGTAACCAGGGCGATTCAACCGAAGTTAAAACTGAGCCCGCTGGTGAGGATACGAACATGGGCTCTGCCGCTGGTGACGGTGATAACTCCGGTAATTCAAATAACGTGAAAGAAGAGGAGAGTACCCAGCAGAAGCAAAAAAGAAAGGTCCCAGACGACAGGCCATATGACCCAACGGCAACCAGCGCCTTGTATATCGCTGACTTGCATTGGTGGACTACTGATGATGACATTCGTGGTTGGGTTAACCAGTGTGGCTGTGAGGAGGAACTTAAAGACATCACTTTTAGCGAGCACAAAGTGAATGGAAAATCTAAGGGGTATGTTATGATCCTGAAAGCCTTTATTTATAATTATCACACTGACATCCATCTCTCTTTATTAGGGTCGCCTTCGTCGAATTTACCTCGCCCCAAGCAGCGGCCGCCGTCAAGCTCAAAATCGAGGCTGGTGGGAATCAACCCGCTTACATGGGCAAGCGTCATACTGTCTCGTATACAAATCCTGCTGTTAATCCATTCCGCACCTTGCCTAAAGATGCTCCTCAACGTGATAGGCCTCGTGATGGGTTCCAAGGTGGTAGAGGAGGAAATAGCAGCAGCGGCGCCGGTAATGACCGTTCAGGACATTCTGCCCCTCCGAACATGCCCCCCGTAAGTATGAATACAGGTGGAGGTATGAATGCAGGGGGAGGTGGAAACTTTAGAGGTGGTAACCGTGGAGGATTTGGAGGTGCCCGTGGAAACATGGGGGGTGGAGGATTTATGGGTAATCGCGGCGGCGGTGGTTTCGGTGGACCCGTTGGAGCCCCGCAAGGCTCCCCGCAGCAAGGGTTCCAAGCCCCGATGACCGGCTTTGGCGCACAGGGAATGCCTATGCAGCAATTTGGCGGCGGAAACTTTCAGGGTGGGGGCAACTTCCCTCCTCGTGGCGGCATGAACCAGATGAGAGGTGCAGGTGGTATGCGTGGTGGTAGGGGTATGGGGCCCAACGGTATGATGGCAGGAGGAATGCCAGGTATGGGCGGTAACATGGGCGGCGGTATGGGAATGGGAAACAACATGGGTGGGATGGGTGGAGCCATGGGTGGCCAGATGGGCGGCGGCGACATGGGCGCGATGTTCAATCCAATGGGAATGGGCGGTTTCAACCCTACCGGTATGGGTATGTATAACAGTCAAGGATTCCAAACCGGTGCGCGTTCACTTACCACCTATCCAACTGCAGCAGGACCTGGTGGCTTTCCGGCGCCTCATTTCAACCCGGCGTTTTTCCCTGGAGGACCGCAGGGTGGAAACCAAGGACAGTGGGATTCCCATAATCCTCATCCCAACAAGAGACCTCGAAATGAGTAAACGTCTCTCCATTTTATACCACTCATGAAAGTTACCAAACGATAAGCGGAACTTTCAGAGGCTAAGGCTAAAAAGATCACAATCTTTCTTCTACACTGGGTGTTTCTCATTTGTATCTGGGGGAATCTCTTTTCGCCTATTCCTTTTATACTCACATTTCCTTTGTCTTATGAAGGATTTACAGAACGATCTTGATTGAAAAACGAGGGTTTGTCTAGGGCCGGGAGGTTTTTTTTCTCTTTTTTTTTTTTTTTTCTCTCTTCCATCTCGCTTTTCGTCATATTATTTTTCCCACTTTAACCTTTGTCGCCCTTGTAGTTTTACTCTAAAAATCCTTTTTAGTACTTTTATAGGTTTTCTTTTTACTTCCTTTTCTTTTCCCAAAAATTGAATCTTGCCGCTGTTGGAGTTTTTGTGCTGTCAGGACTTTATCTCAAGTACTACTTTTATTGTCGTAACATTTCTAGGAATTCTTTTGTTCTTTTTAAGCCTGGACTTACTTGGACTTTGACCACGATTTGTTGGCATTGAGAGTATCACCGCAGGATTTTCTTTTTTAGAAGTAATCACGTACGACAGTGTTATCTGAGTTTTCCAGTTGTTATGATATGGGAGAAGTAAATACCAATCTAATGTTTTGCCTGATTTGATTGGCAGCTTTCCGTTCCTGTGATGAGTGATTTCTTGTTATATGATGTCAGTTTATCGGCCAGGAACAATCGATACTTCATCAAATATCACTCGGTCTCTAAATCCTCATTTGTCACCACGTGTATCCACCGATCCGCCAAGGAGGCACTCAAAACTCAGGGCCGAAGGTGTACTCTAGAGTAGATGCAATAAACATACACCAAGGAGCACGTCATGTTTGACCAGCACAGCGCTGTTTGACCACAGGCTGTGGACAGCAAAGTACGATGCAGAGTGGCAGCCCGCATTGTGCGATCATGCAAATCGCCATCCAAGCACTCGTGATCGATCCCGCAAACAAAGGAAACAAACATTTCTGACACAAACAAAAGCCTGAAGCTAGCCCCTCGCACCCTCCATTCATTCGAGGCTCGCACATCATAGAAGTGTGCCTACATACAT